GTTGACAGGACAGGCGTGGGACTCTCCCTCATGTAGGACAAACACACACACACACAGGCACGTACACACACACACACACACACGTCCCGGGGCAGGAGGATCAGGCCAGTTCTGCCCTCTGCTCATTTGCATAAACCACATTTGCAATACAAATAGAGTCCCGCTGGCTGCCAGGAATGTCAAAGATAGACAGAGGAGAGACAGTTAGAGGAAAGGAGCATTTACAGGTTATGATCTATCACAGGTTTTTATATTTATGCTGACAGGTATTTGTGTAAATGAAGAGATTTAAAGGAAATGTAGCCTCTGCTCTGTGATTTTAAAAAGTTACCGCCTTCACCTGCAGATAGAGACATATACAAGTTTCTCTCATTCTCAGTTTATGGACAGAACAGGCCTCATGCAAAAGCTCAGAATCTCCAGAATTCCGTTCCGTGACTCAGGATTGGCTGAAGGTTCTGGGGTTTAGGTAAAGTAAAGGCCATTCAGATCAGAGAGAGACATTTTAGGTTTAAACCAGAGACTGTATAAAAAAGTGGACTAAGAGAGTGTGATGTCACCAATAGCGTTCAGCACCAGTCAAATGAAGCTCACGAGTCTCGCAGTTACACGAATTAGTGAAACACCAAGATCACGTAGAGCGGGTTAATACAAACATTTTAAGATCAAAATGACGAGGCTCACTACAGCAGTTAAACGAGGGTTAGCTATGTCCATTTAAATATATAATCTATGGTTTAAACATCTCATTCCAGCATCGCAACCATCAACCCAAATGAGAGACTCGTGTGAGATCACATGTTTCGATCACATGGTGGTGACCTATACTCCAACCCACATGGCACAACAGGGACATCACCTGCATGATTTTATGAAAATGAGTTCAAACCATACTCTGGAATGTTCTCCATGTAGAATGATAAACAGAACAACATTTCCATGGACAACAAGAAGGAGGAGGCTTTGCTCTTGGCCAAATAAAAGTTAGGTTTATGGAGATGCAAGCCCGCTCAGAGCAAGAATGCCTGTTTTTTCATTGTTTTTCAGTGCAATAACCACAACCAAATTGAAAAAAACTTAAATTACAAACCAGATTATATTTCCAGACAGCCTTTATAATTGCTTTTACTTGAATGATGGTTTCCCCAAATACTTCCATAAATCCTGCTCCCCGTTTGACTCCAGGCTAAACTCCTACGCCTTTGTCTACTCCCAGACACTAGAGCTGTTATTTAGCCCCGCCCCCGTCTCCTCGGCACAGGTGCGGTGTACCTGCGCTGGCTGCTGATTGGACGAACTCGTGTCTCTAACAGGATGCAGCTCTAACTGTAGCAACAGGAGCTGGACTGTTGCCATGGAAATAACAGGATTTAAGACCTGAGATTTGTTTGGACCCAACAGTCCCCGTCTCCTCTGTGATGGGGACACTGATTTCTGATCCTGCACCTGTCACATGGAACACACATATTTCACAAGAGGGAAACTGTAGGGTTAAAACATTTTTCAAGAAAAATACTTTTCTGTGTAGTTGTGTGTTCTTGCATATTCACAAGATGTTCTGAGATTACAACATAACATTTAATGTCACATGTGCTGCGTCATTATTAGTCTGACTGTCCTGGTTAAAGCTGCACTATTGAAAGCCTACTGCAGTGACATCACACTGGGGGTGTTCTACATGTATGCCTGAATGACTGAGGAGGATCATCAGAGTGTATCAGACTTACAACTGCAGTCTGTCTTTTGATCAGACAAACAACGGACATGCACAAACGATCAAAGTACATTATTTAAGTTATAATAGTGTGAGGATTTTCTTTTACAGTGAGAAAAGTATGAAAACCATAAGAAGAATGTTGGAATATTTGGAATTATGCATGTGAATGATGTTACGCTAGTTTGTGTGTGTATGTGTTTGTGTGTGTGTGTGTGTGTGTGTGTGTGTGTGGGGTGCGTGTATGTGTGTGTGTGTGTGTGTGTGTATGTGTTTGTGTGTGTGTATGTGTTTGTGTGAGTGTGTGTGTGTGTGTGGGTGCGTGTATGTGTGTGTGTGTGTGTGTGTGTGTGCTACTACTACTACAACAACTACTTCTATTACTACAACTACTACTACTACTACTACTACTACTACTTTTACTATTACTACTACTACTATTACTACTACTACTCCTATTACTACTATTATTACTTTACTACTACTACTACTACTACTACTACTACTACTACTACTACTACTACTACTAGTACTACTACTACTACTATTATTATTACTACTACTACTTTTACTACCACTACCATTACTATTATTAACTAGAAAAGCAGTCAGAGAGCGCAGACCTCCGCCAAGGACTACCCCCATTTTTTATATAAATTGCGATAAAATCAGTCTTCTGGATCAGATCCGGATCAGCCTTTGGAATATGAAAGAGGATCCCATTGTCCATCCCTGAGTCAAATTTCATGGGGTTTGGTCAATAATTAACCCAGATATTGAGAAACAAAATTTTTGGCCCCATTTACCACAATGTTAACTAAAATTTCAAAGTGATCCAGAATCCAGGATTTCTTCCGGATCACCCCCAACATGAAATCAGTTCTTCCTTTTCATTTCCAACAAATCCTGAAAATTTCATCAAAATCGGTCCATAACTTTTTGAGTTATGTTGCTAACAGACAAACAAACAAACAAACAAACAGACAAACGCCGGCAAAAACATAACCTCCTTGGAGGTAAAAATAATAATTCCTTTTCTTGTCATTGCAGTGACAAGATTGAGAGACCAACATCATGTATTGAATGTTTCTCAAGTTTGAGATTTTTGGTTCCTTGACAATTAACTATCTGGTACTTTTTGTTTATTTATTTATTTTTATTTTAAAATGACCAGCTTTTCTTAAAAAAAAAGAAAAACTGGGACATCGCTGGTGTGGGTTGGTTGATATTAATAATACAATTGTGAATCGTGTGCATAATTAAGGAAAATTGTTCTGCACTCGGCACTAATGTGAATCAGTATAGTCACATTTTCATTGTGTTTTGGTCATTTTTAAGCAGCTTTTCTGTATTTGACCTAAACAAATCACAATTTATGCTAATTCTGTTGGCAGGGATCAAATTTGTCAAAAATAGGGACATCTGGAAAATTTCTTGTAAAAAACTGGGACAAATCACTGGTTTTGGATAAATCTGCCGGGACAGGAAACACAGGGCTCAAAATTGGGTAAATAAAGACGTTCTTCTTCTTTTGTCTTGTTCTCCAGTTCTTGGCACATATGTTTAACAGAAAACTTCAAAACCTCCCAGTGTTTTGTTTGTGCATCCTGGTTGAGGGTTGGATTGCAGTTGAGGGAGGTGCTGGTGTGATTTGCCCGCTCCTCTGTCCTGCTCCTGTGTTTGGGAAAGGTGTGAAGCTACTTCTTGTTTGCCAGACTAAATCCATCCAAATGTTTATCTCCGGGCGCGGCAACGGTTAGCTAAAGTAATTAACGTCCTCCCTGCAGCCTCTGATCAAATCTTGCTCTATCCTACTGGAGATTTGGCTGGATGTGAAGGCGTGTGTGCTAGGGTGTGAGCGGCAATCATAATAGTGCAATGAAAGTGTGTGCAGGCCTGATTTTCTGAGATTATAGTGTTAACATCAGGGATAACTTTATGATAGCCAAACAAATGATAAACTGGCCTAATGTTTTCCCATGCCACTGGCTTTGGTTTTGCATGCGCTCCTGTTATTTAGAAGCAAACACGCTGCAGGTGGTGGTTGACATGGAAACATAACAGCACACACACGGACAAATTACGTCTGGCTCACACTTATACAAATCATCTACAAATGATCAGACAAAAGCTTTTTAAAGACAGAAAATGGTTAAGGCTTCAAAGGGGTTCCACAGGGGTCAATGCTGGGCCCAGTGGTTTTTAATTAAAATGAAGTGAGCACTGCAAATGTGTTTTAAAAACCCCCAATGAATGCTTATATTATGTTTCCATTCCAAAAAAAAAAAAAAAAAAAAAAAACATTAAAGAGAGAAATGTGTAAAAATGCGAATGTTTTGGTAAAAAATATGATTTTATCTGATGGTGTGGTCTTGCAAGATTTCTTCTCACAATAATTCTGTAGGACTAAATATGACATTGTTAACTGGGTGTCAGAATCTGTACTTTTTTCATTTAAAGCCCCAACACATGCAATAAATAAATAAATAAATAAATAAATAAATAAATCTTCTTACTGATTGCACATTCCCCTGACTTATGTGCAGTTTTGATTGCACGTTCCCTAAACTTTAATTTTTTAACTGCACTATCAAAGTTTAGCAGTTAAAAAAAAAAAAAAAAACTGCTAAAGTCAGATAATACAGTTAAAAAAAGAAATAAACAAAAGTAAAAAGTTCTTCTTCTTCTTATTATTATTATTATTATTACAAATAAATAAATGTGTGTTACTTTTTATTTTGGATGTTTTTATTGACATAAAAAACTTGTCCATGCATCTCCACAAACCTGACTGTGTGGCCTTGGGAATGGCCTGCTCCTGCTTGTCTTTATGAAAATATTGTTCCTTTGGCCATAATATTTCACAGTATGGTGTAAAAAGTATCTATCCATGCAAAATATTCCGAAGTATGGTATTAATGTTCTATTTCCATGGAATCATGCAGGTGAGGCACCACCACCAGGAAGTTACATGCTGTTGTTTTAAGTATATTTAGAAATGGTTACAGATCCTTTATTATCTTAACCTTGTTTATACTACAGATACCTTACACCTTGATAGTATCTGCTACTTGTACTCTAGCTTTCAAATACTTTCAAATACTTGTATATGAGAGACAGTTAGGATGCATGTAGTCCACACCTGGTCTGTATATCCTCCTGGTTTCCTCCTGAAGGGATTTACTCTGCACATCCTGTTCTAACTGACAATACACATCACCATATTTATCTACATACACTGATCTACCCACAGCAACAAGGATATTTGTGAACAGAAAGCCCAACAGATTTTACAAGGCTCTTTATTTTGTGTCAGTAACACAAACATGAATATGGCATAAAAATAGTTTGAATAAATAACACAACATTCTTCATATAACTTTTACATTAGAAGAATAAGGCTACATTTGGCATTTAAATCTTTGGTCCAAAAGGAATTGCATAATAGTTCTGACCCAACCCCACACACATACATTCAGTAGTAACAATGAACTATAAATACAGATTAAATATACAAATAATAATAATAATAAAAAAAAACACCTTAATTTAAATATAACACACTAAGGACTGTAAATGTTTACATAAACACAATTTTAAAAAGTATTTGAGAAGTGATTGTATTTTATTTTTAGTGCTCTCAGGAATAAATAAACTGAAATTTCAAACTGATATGCATTTAAAAGTTAAGCTTATTCATTCGTGCAATTGCAGAAAGTAGTTTTGAAGTATTTGAAAGTCAATTAGTCCACTTTAGGTCTCATGTAAACAAAGATTACTGTAACAGAACTTATTTTTCCATTAAAGGAGACACGCCATGCAAAACTTTAAAGAAGGGGTATTAAGCAAAATTGATGAAATGTTCCCTCATCAAAAATATACCTGAAGTGGATTTATATGTCATTCATGCATGTTTGTGTCATCTAGCGATGACCTTATTCAAAGCTTTCTTATGGTTAGCTGTAAGAGTGTGTACAATGCACGACCCACATCACCCACACTCCCCATAAATATACAGAAACATATGACAAAAAATAAACTATTGCTTCACAAATCTAATCCAATGTGTTGTAGTTTCAATAGCAAGATACACGCTGATTGTGTTGTGATAGCGCTCTGAAAGGGGAGTGACTGGGCGTGGGGAGCAAGGAGAGGAAGAACTAAAAACACAGCATATCAAACAAAAATGTAACATAGGGATTCAAATGTTGTGTTAATGAATATTCCATACAAGTGTAATACCCCCTCGAAATGTTATCTCTTTGGCAGTTTAACCATGGCACATAGTTATTTTTTATGAACGTGCACAAACCAGGGGTGAGCCTGCACTCTGAGTGTTAACTGGGGTTTGTTGAATCGGGATGCAGTGGTGCGCGTGAAAAAAAAAAAATGACATGCCATGGAACACCGTGCTCTGGTGTGCATTGGCCTTTATGGTAACAACAATTTTAAAAAGTAAAGTTCAGGCTTTGTTTCAGAATGAACACAGTGTAATGTCTACCACTCATTCTAGACCACTCCTGTATGACTGAGGGTCTACAGCACACATGATGCAGTCTTTTTATAACTCTGGGACTACAGCACACATCATGCAGTCTTTTTGCGGCTCCTCGCTCCTCACTTGGCGTGCTGGCCCTCATGGTGGCGCCGCAGGTCCACTTTGCGTTGGAAGCCCTTGTTGCAGATGTCGCAGCCGAACGGTTTGAAGCCCGTGTGTTTGCGGCTGTGGGTGATCAGGTTGGAGCTCTGGCTGAACGCCTTTCCACAGACCTGGCATTTGTGCGGTTTTTCACCTGTGGAAACAAGACCACATGTTATCACCACGTTCAAGCTCAGCCCACTTTGAAACCTACTGGCACTGCAAAGGTTCCCATTCATTTTCCTTCCACCTGCTTGTCTCCATGACAATGTAATTGCATTGCCTGAAATGTTCCCTAGTATGGCATTTTATATACCTATCTCCCTGGACAATGATCAGGTGAAACTACTGGGGCCCAACACACAGTAAAACATATATGTTTTCATTATTATTATTATTATTTTTTTTTTTTTTTTTCATTAAAAACATTTAAATTGAATAAATGCAAGCTAAATTCATTTAATGTTAAAATGGGGAACATTCCAGGTGACATTAATAACACCATGGAGACAAAAAGGACAAAAAAGTGACAGACATCCATCCTAAAACCTTGAAATAAAATGGTGTGAAAATATTCTTCTCATCTTAGCACTTAAGTCACAGCTGCCATGAACATGAAAAAGGTGTGGCTGCCAAACTGCCCCAACGGCCCCTCTAACTACAACTAACCACTAACCACTAACCACACAAACACACACACACATACACACCCTTACCCCAACACACACAGATATTCATACAGGAAAAGTGAATGAAGAGTCTTGCCCAAGGACCAACAACAGCACTGGGTGGAGCTGGGATGGAACCATCAACCTTCTGTTTATTAGAACTCCACTCTACCACTGTCAGCTCCCCCATAACATTGGGGGGGGGGGAGTATTTATAGTTTAGATATGCATAAACATATATGTATAATGATTTTTTGTGCATATTTTCAGACCATGCCATAACAAACATATTTTTTTATTTAGTTTTATTTTACTTTTTAATGATTTTCCTCCACACAGAACAGACTACGCGTGTCTCTGATTGGCTAATGCACCTGTCAATCCTGCTTATCATAACTGAGGGGGTGGAGCTAAGAATCCAGGCTTAGTTGTTTGTATAGAAAAGCACAAGAGTTAAGCTTGAGTTGGTAATGTTATCTCTGTACAGTTAATCTTCATGTTTCCAGCTGAAGAATCGTGCTATTGTCCAGATTTGTAAAACATTTATGGCAGCTCCATAACCCTGGTGCACTTCCTTATATAGAGCTGCGTTTGAGGCAGGATGAACAGATATGCAAATGATTCTGGAAATTTGTTTCAGACTGTGTGATTTATCAGCAGTTATACAGCTCCTGGAAGCTGTTTCAGTTCGCCTGGAAAACACCATCACTAATAACAGTCGTGTGGAAGAGGAGTGTGCGGTAGTGTTTATCCAGGGTGAAAAAATATTGGCAGATAATTAATTCATATTGTGATTTAAAACACTCCTCTACTGTCAATAGTTGGGTCCCTAGCATACACTGTACAGCAGGGGACTCCATCGTTTTTCCTCTGGTCAGCTCTCTTACCAAACTAAAATACCAGAGAGCAACTCATTTTAGCAGCCACAAAAACTGAGACGATTATAAGAAAGAGGGCGAGCCTTTGGGTACAGTTAGAGTCTATGAAACATAAACCATTGTGCATTTATTAGTGCAAAAAGTTGAGCTTCAGAATTATACGTTTATAATAGTAATAGGCGCATAATTAACCAAATTTTTGTTATTAAAAAAAAAAAAAAAAAAAAAAAAAAAGTTAAAAAAAGTATTTCCCTCTTTTCCCTATATTTATTTATTTATTGAATTTACTTATTCTTACTCTTCTTACTGTTATTTTTTTAAATTTTTATTTTATTTTATTATTATTATTTATTTATTTTTTTTCCCACTGGAGACAGTAGAGGAGGGTAATGGTTGACAGGGTTGGGGAATACAAAAATTGTCACATATTACTACTAATTGTTTTTCTCTGAGACATCTGCTTTATGTGCACAAAAATAATGTTATTCATCAGCACAATGGTATAATTTTGAAATCCTCTGGCGAGCTACTTTGAAGGGGGTGGCTCCTGAGCTAGAGGTTGGACAGCCCTGCTGTACAGTATATATAAACAGACATAGCTAACCCACTAGCCGCTGTGTTCCAAATAGGAAGTGAATAGTGGGGTCATCATTCAGTCTTAAAATGTTCATATTAACCCACTCTATGTGATCTTGGTGTTTTTATTTAGCTATTTTATCTGTAAATCACTTCCTATTCCTGATATGGAACTCCAAATTCACACCTATAATTGGCTGCTAGCCTCGTGAGCTTCATTTGACTGGAGATGAACGCTGTGGGTGGTGTCACACTCCTAAAGGCCGCCACACACTACAGGATTTTTCAGTCTTGAATGATTTTTAAAAGTGTGACCAAAAGTGCACACCACAGACTCGAGGAGAATCTGATGAGATTTTAAATCTCCGATCACAAAGACTGCAGTGGGATCTGTCTGCAGACCACAGGATATAAAGTTGTGGGAGCGATTACGTCAACTGTTTCCTGTTCACAGTAAAACCAAAAGCAAAACTGTGTTTTTATTATTTGTGAAATGCGGTGCAATACTTCAAATACATAATTTTGAAAATGCACAGATGGTTGGAGATAAAGTTCACAGGAAGTCGAGTCACTATCACTAATCTGCAGCTTCACCTCGATCCGTGCGCTGTGTGGATGTAAACAGACACACGAGAGGAACGACTATTGCCTTTTTAATTTCAAAGAACGTTTCATACTGGATTAAAACTGCTGTTTTGTGAACTGGATGTCGTTATTTGTGGAGGACAATTTCTGTGAATAATGTGGATGAGATGATGCACTTTAAATTTGCCACTTAAGGAGAGGTGAGTGATAAAGTCTTCTCATTATTTTCACTCTATCCTGAGTTTGTATTTTGCCTCTGTTTCCGTCACTCTTTTGCCCCTGACGTTCTGTTTTACTGGCTGTTATCATAGCATTGATGATGTTTGGTGGATCTGACAGAGCAACTCAGAGTCACACTGACACCACACGAGGAGCCCAGCGGCTTCAAAATCACACAAAAGACATAAAATCGGGTCACGCCTCCCCGGGGAGAAACAAATCGCAGCCAAAATCGGGCAAATTCTCCTGTAGTGTGTGGCAGCCTTTAGTCCACTTCTTTAAACAGTCTAAGTTTCTAGTGTTAAAGCTGCATAATGTAGCTTTTCTAGTGGATGGTTCACTGCATGACCTGTGATTAAGCAAAGACAGTCAAACAATATCCAGTGTCACTCTGTGGAACACGCAAAGCAATAACACAGGGACACAGGGACAAGCAGTACACAGACCTGCACCAGGAAAAGTTACATATTGCACATTTATATAAGTTAATGACACACTTACTAACGGACTAACTAATGCAGGAAGGCCCACTTATGACTTTCAGCTTCCTGTTAAATGCAAGATTCAAATCAGTCCTAACTTGTCATCATTCGTTATCAACTCGTAATGGGTATTTTTTCCACATCTCCAACATTATGATTAATGACCTCAGAGTCTTCCAGCTAAATTAACTCATATGTATACAGCAGGGCTCATGCTAAACAACAGACTAAAGAAATGTAAATGATATTGTATATGCACATGTGACAGTATATGTTTGAATTTAACCATGTTCACATAGTTTATGTTGTGGTTAATCTCAGATCCAGTTTTTTATGGTGATTATCAATGATGTAATATGTCAGAGTTTGTCTTGTATGCTCCCAGTTCACGAGTAGGAATTACCACTTTCAAACATCACCATGAACCAGATATAGCTTCACCAAAAAAATAAAATAAAATAAAAAATTACAAGTATTGAACCATGAGGTTGATAACATGCCAGAAATTGTATTATTAGAGGACTTGACATATAATCGTAGTTTTGAAGTTCCAGTGATGCAGGACATTCAGGCTACGTTTATATGATGACATCTGAACAGAAGTGGCGTAGAGTCTTCAATTTTTATTCTGTGTTTAGATGAGCATTTTCGGGAGGAAATCTGCGTGTATACAATGACGCAAAAGTGTGTGGAATTTGATTGTGTATGTTTGTACTTAAAGCAGGGGTGTCCAAACTTTTTTCATCAAGAGCAACATATTTAAACACAGACAAAACAGAGGGCTGATCGAGGGCCGCAGACTGATGCTCAATACAGTGAATCATTGAAATATGTGGAGGTTTAACACGTTAAAATGAGCCATCAGCCTTTATTCATGCTAAGATCCTTAAAACCACACACTAAATATTAAATATTTGCTTTTTCAAGGTAGATTTTCAAACAGCTTAAAATGTTAATTTTTAATTGATGCGAGGCAGTTTGGGCCAATTCACCTGGAAGCCTGAGGGCCAAGAAAAATTTGTCTGAGGGCCACATTTGGCCCACAGGTCATAGTTACGACATGCCTGACTTGAAGTAACAAAGGCATCTTTCAGACCTTTTCACGCCACGCATTTTCATCAGCTGCTCCTTCCACAAAGTCGTCCCACCATCAACTGATTCTCCAAGTCTCGTCCCTATCCGTCTGACTCGCCTGTGACCAACTGGTGCATCCACAATTGGACAGAGGTGATTGCAGATCCTTCTCTGTTCACTAATAGTATCTCTGCAGATTCTGTACATTTGTTGGGAGCCTCCTGTAAGTTTATTAGAGCTGCCAGAGCAAATCCGGCATGTTTGTTTCTGTATAATCCAATAATCCATTGTTGTGTCTTGACTGAACTTGTTTATTGAAACTGTTGTATATTATCCAAAGGCCATTCTTACTCAACAGTGTATGTTTTATGTTTTATGTTTGTATGTCAATTTACTATTTCACTATTTCACTATTAACTATAATATATGGTACCAAAACAAACACAATCTCAGTCTCCTGTCACTCCCTCCCAGAGTCAAATTCTAGTCTTCTGGTCACAAGCCCATACTAATATATTACTACTCAAGTACCAATTCATTACCATGTCCCATTGTGTATATATCCACTGACACAGGTGTTGCATACAGTATGCATGTGACGTAAACACGTACACGACGTGAGCAGATCTGATCAGAGTTTTGCGTCTTGGGCAGTGTAGACAGAAACAGAAAAGGAGCGTATTCAACTTTTCCACTCTGGAGGCTGGTTTCAGATTTTTGTGGTTTTAAGAAAATATTTTGTTTTTATCCGCAAGTGTTCTCGTGTAAACAGGTCCTCTATCTGTGTAATTCTTTTCACTGAATTCTGAAAATGATAATACAAGTACATCACTGCTCTACAAATGCTTGTTGCATTTCAATACACTGTACGATAAATATAGATGAGTCAGTGTCACTTTACCAACAAACACTAACAGTTTGTCGACATGGCTGCATGATGTCTGTTATTCTAGTTTACGATTGCTCTATTCTTGTAACAGCTCAGTTGTTGTTGTGTCTCACCTGTGTGGATGTAAGTGTGCTTCTTCATATCAGACTTCTGGTGGAACCTCTTCCCACAGAACTGGCAGGGGTAGGGCCGTGTGTCCGAGTGGATGAGCAGGTGAGTGGACAGAGTGGACGAGCGCTTAAATGTCTTACCACACATTTTACACTCAAAGCTCTTCTCCTGCAATAGAGCATATTCACAGCAGGATTAGCATAGATGTGGTCTGAAAGAATTGCAAACTGTGACTGTAAAATAGTAGTTTTATCACAAAATATGTTTTAGTTACTCAAGTTATAGTATTTTGAATGCAATACAATTCTTGCTTGCTCTTCCAACTGTGGATAAGATGATGAAATGATAAAAGGGCAATTTTTTTTTTAAATTTATTGTACCTTGGAATGTAACAATAACTGAAATATTGTGATATCGTATCGTCAAAAGTCTCACAATAATATCATGGACTCACACATACAATATATTGAATCACAAGTTTCTTTGCTTAAATGCAGGTTTTATAGAGGCAACAGCTCATAAATAGAGAACTACATATCCCATGATTCATTTCAGTGGAAACAACATGAAGAAATATGTTATTTACTTGAATTCTTGGGATCATGATGGTAATAATTCACTGCATAAAAGCAAAAAAGTGACCCATCTTTAATTATTAGACTCTTCAAAATATCGCAATAAATATCGTACCATGAGATGCATATCATGATAATATTGTACTATGAGATTTTGATATTGTTACATCCCGAGAATATGACAATAAATGTTGTACCAGATGACTGGTCAAAGCATTTTATAATATCAGTCTTGTTATTATGTATAATATAATATTGTGAGCCTCCCAACCATACAGTGAGCTTTCCCACGATATCGCAATAAATATCGTACAGTGAGGTCCATACCGTGACGATATCGTATCGTGAGACTTGAATATTGTTACACCCCTACTTGTACCCTACTTTTTACTTTTAAAATACCAGAATTTGCTAATTATTTTTAGTTATGTCACTCTTATTTAGGGCTGAGCAATATGAAGACTTAATTTAAACCTGATTTAGACCTGGTTTAGACCTGATACAAACCTGGTTTAGACTTAGTTTACGCCTGATGTAGACCTGGTTTAGACCTGATTTAGTCATAGTGCTTATTTAATCTTTTTTTAGACCTGGTTCAGTCCCACTGGAGTCTCGGCTGAGGGCTAAGGTCCTGGTTTAGTCTTGTCGCGTTACCTGTGAGTGTACGTTCATGTGCTGCTCCAGACTGACGGCGTGTCCAAACGTCTTTCTGCAGATGCTGCATCCAAAAGGCCGTGTGCCGCTGTGAGAGCGCCGCACGTGCACCTCCAGCCCGTGAGGAGTGGAGAACACCTGACACACACAACACAACACCAGAGTCAGTGGAATGGAGCTGTCCACACTGTTAAAGTGCAATATCAAAAGCATCAACAGCATAAGCCAACAGTTTTTCAGTTACTCTCACTGTGAACACTTGTACTCACATGCTCACAAAAATGTGTATAAATCCATTTTGTATTCATCTAAAACCTATCAGGCACACACACTCCTCTCATACATGCAGAACACACACACTCCTCTCATATATGCAGAACACACACACTCCTCTCATACATGCAGAACACACCCACTCCTCTCATATATGCAGAACACACACACTCCTCTCATATATGCAGAACACACACACTCCTCTCATACATGCAGAACACACACGCTCCTCTCATACATGCAGAACACACCCACTCCTCTCATATATGCAGAACACACACACTCCTCTCATACATGCAGAACACACCCACTCCTCTCATATATGCAGAACACACACACTCCTCTCATACATGCAGAACACACACACTCCTCTCATATATGCAGAACACACACACTCCTCATACATGCAGAACACACCCACTCCTCTCATATATGCAGAACACACACACTCCTCTCATACATGCAGAACACACCCACTCCTCTCATATATGCAGAACACACACACTCCTCTCATATATGCAGAACACACACACTCCTCTCATACATGCAGAACACACACGCTCCTCTCATACATTTCCCCCAAAATGATATCACTTCATTTAACTGAATTAACTCCAATCAAACTGACTTTAATGTCTATGAGGTTTTCGCCGAGTGCTGCTAAAACACTAAGCTCTGACAAATCAGGCACTGAACTGCAGGTGGAAGTCATTGAACCCATGTTAAACACTTAAAAAACTCCACTGGAGGGCACTTCTATTTTGTTTTTACAAAGGTACTTCTTTGTGTGTCAGTGCTGCAGCAAGTTACAGTTCATTCCAAAAGACAAAATGAACTCCAGGGGCAGTAAAGTGACCGATAACAATAACATGCCTCACAGTGCCCATATTAGGTTATTTTCTGATCTATGTTATAATGTCGTTTCCTCTTCACAAACAGACCTGGAGTTGTTTTGTTTTAGTCACACATGTATGTTTAACACATAAGCTGTTCTCTCAGACAGAAAACACCTTACTGGTAATACAGGAAGTGCCCCAGTTTGTTTTTAAACTCCATGCAGCCTCTCTAGAAACATCTGGATGATTTCATACTGAGCAATAAGTAAGGGGTAGTTGTTAACTTGAAATCTTAGAATAATAGTAAAGGATTACTCATGGGTGAATGAAATGAAACACAACTCTGGCTATTTTTGGAGGAGGTAACAACTCTCTAACATCAAGTTTGTGTGATAAATGAGTGAATGAAACAAAACACAACTCCAGGTATGTTTGTGAACTAACTAACTGAAAATGGTATGAGACGTGAGAACACAATGGTACCTTGTCGCAGGTGATGCAGTGGTAGGTGTTGGAGGAGAGCGAGTAGGCAGTGGAACAGTCCAGGGGCTGGGGGGGAGGCGGGCTGCTGCTGCTGCTCCTCTGCTGGGGGGACTGGGGGCTGTACAGGGGGCCCGAGTGCTGGAGCACCGTGGGGCTGAAGGTCAGGTGTCGCAGGTCGTAGGAGTTGCACATCCAGTACGCCGGCTTGTAGTACGGAGGATACTCTGATGGATCTGAGGGGGAGAGAAAGTACAAAGAGGTAAAAGTCTGTGGTGTCAACAGTTGCATAGTGAGTTTTAATGGTTTTGGCCTGTCACAATATAGTTTGCGAGTCAGTCATTTCTAATACATGCATCACAAATTTCAGACTTCCAGTCATCGTGCAATGCATACTGGGAAGGATTTCCCGAAAAAGTGAGCATCAAACCGCCATGTTTGTTTTCCCAGTGGGATGAGTCTATTGACAAAGCCGATCTTTTCTAGTCTTTTGAACCATATCACTTTTGTTCCTGGTTCTGATATCTTCATATTTTAGTTTTGGGATTCAGACATCGTAATTGTGTCATTGTTGAATGTCCTAACAGCGGAAAACAGCTCAAGAAACAGGCGTCAGAAGTTTGTGAACTCCATAAATGCAAAAGGGAATCAGATCTGTGTGACTGCAAACCTCCAAACTGAAAAGTATTTGATGAACCCTCCATGAGAAAAGTTACACAATGTACCTTTAAAGACGACATATTGTCTGCTTTGTAGTTATAATCTATGACACCCGTGGATGATTATGTTATCATTTGGACAATTTAAATTGCAATATACATGAATTTGCCATTTAAAATGCCCAAATGATAATATACTTAACATAACTTACACATACTTACTAGAAGAAACAAGAGTGAAACAATGACACCTTGAATACAGAAGAACAAACTCAAACATCCCTGAACCACTCTAAATCCAACTTTGAGAAGGTAAATGAGAAGGGAAACAATTATAATTTAGTTTTTTTTGTGAATTTTGACAAATAGGGTCGCTTTAAAGTTATAGTATGTATGATTTCATGGAAATAGAAAGTAAAAACCATACTAAAACATTAACAATGATATCAAAGAATACTCTTAACACTGACACAATAACCTATATAACCCAATAGCAGGATCATACCAGCACCATACCAATACAAACAAAAGAAATGTATTTAATAAAAAAGAACATATGAAAATCATCTTTTGTTTATAGAGTGATAGTAGAAACAGTACTGAGAGATGGCTGATATTTGCACTTTTTAGCATCCCAGCAGAGGCAGATATTATGTTTTGGCCAAAAGAATACACATAAAGCTTTATCTGAACTTAAGTGCAAAGAGATAACTGTAAATCAAATGAAATTAAATGTGACTACACAGCTCTCTTATATGTTTGTGTTAAAACAAAAAATTTAAATGACACAATTTGGGGAAAATGATCCAAATCAGTCCTACATATCGGCCCAAACATATTGGCAGAGTTTATTGGCTGTTGTATCGTATCGTTAAGCATATCGGTTGATCTCTTAAGTAATTATCATGACAAACCAAGATATCTCAACATATTTACATTAAACAACACACTTTTATGGTTTGATGTGATAATGCAAGTACAGTTAGTATCATGTAGAGCAGACATGTCAGACTCAGGCCCGGGGGCCAAATTTGATCCACGATATATTTATATTTGGCCCGCGGGATCATATAGCGGCTACAGATGGACTATAGAGCAGAGGTCTCCAACCTGTAGCTCGGGAGCTATCAGTAGCTCTCCACCACCTTCCAAATAGCTCACCAAGAGATTTCATTGTGCTGAATATCAAAGATTTGGTTAATTACATGCCAATTAACATTGTATATGTATCGTTTTGAAGTCCAAGTTTATGCACTAATAAATGGTTTATATTTTATAGACATTTAACAGAAGGTTTGCCCTCTTTCTTATAATCATGTCAATTTCTTGCGGCTGCTAAAATGAGTAGCTCTCTGGCTTTTTTGTTTTGTAAATGTAGCTCACTGGAGGAAAAAGATTGGAAACCCCAGGTATAGAGATATTATTAATTTAAAATTTTGTTATTATTTTATATTCTGCTTGTTCTTGTTATTAAACATTTATTTTAATAAGAAAGGAAAATTACATATCTTGAAAGAAGAGAAAAAACATGCAGATGTTGTTGAAATTTTTCAATAAAAATTTAGTTTGGCCCAAGACTTAGTCCCAGTTTTTAATTTTGGCCTCTGTGAATTTGAGTTTGACACTCCTCATGTAAAGGTTCAGTAAATGTGATCAATCATAAAATTATAATTGTTTCTTCTCACAAAATGGCTGTAGTTTCTCCTCCCTGTTGTGCAACACATCCTTGTTACTCACTGCAAAATCTTTGTCTCATCTGTTTGTACGGGCCTATTGACCTAAAGACAATGTAGATTTGTACATTATACAAATCTTGTGTATCCGTACCTGTCCTGTTCTATATTGACATAGTATTGAAGCACAGACCTACTACCAGTGTGTACTTAAGTAAATGTAGTAACTACACATGAAACATATCATTCAAAGTGTTTCTAGTTACATTTTCTACAGAAGTAAGTAGCATCTTAGATCTATATTGTATACTGTCCTTGATTAATTAAATGGAAATAAATAAATAAACACCATAAATACATAAATGGAATTATTAACTTGTTTTTAACCACAGTCTTTATTTTCTGTGAGCCCTGGTCTGACCAATCAGAGCACTGGGATGACTTGATCCTGTATTGTGTTTAGTCAGTCTTACAATTTTAAGTGTAACTAAATACATTTATGTGGTTTGAATGCTACTTAATTAAAAGGGCAAGAAAAACTCAAAAAGTATCAAAGTAAAAACTCAAAAAATACAAAAATACAAATTCTACTCAATTACAGTAACTTGAGAATTTGTTCTTAGTTACTTTCCACCGGACGTACCTAAAAAACTGCAGGCTGTTAATTTGCTATTAGTTATCATTCCAGTTGTGTGTTGTTGTTTTTTTTTTGTCATTCCACAGTGGTCTCTCCTGACTGCAAGGGTGTCAGAGGTGTGTGTTGGTGGTGTGGGGTGTGTGTGGGTGGTGATCTTACCTGAGAGGTAGCAGGTGTTGGCGGCCGGGGGTGTAGAGTTCTCAGGGTGCATAGAGACAGGGCACTGGGGCTTGACCTGGTCCTCCTCTGCAGTGCTGTGGTCCTGCTCTGACAGTCTCTCCTCTGACACTGTCTCTCCTGACAGTCTCTCCTCTGGGGGTGGCCTGGAGAACCTCTCCGAGCTCTCCACCTTTGGAACCACATCTGATACACACAAAGAAAACCCAAGTAAGAGTTTATGTAGGCCTAATAGGGATAGAATAAAAATGTCAGTACTTCCATAGATTTTTTTTTTTTTTACCCATACACATTATCCTTTTTCCCTCAAATTTGTCAATTTGCAAGATAAAAAATGGACTCTGCAATTAATCAAACTTCAATCAAGATTCAGTGTTTTCTACTGGTCAGTGGTGAGCATGTGTCTTATTCATGGAGAGGTCTACGGCCAGTCCTCTGTCAGTAAAGTCTGTGGTCTGGAGCAGAGTTCAGAATTGGTGGAAAAGGGAAAACTGTAGAAAACAGTGGAAAACAGACTAAATAAGTGTACTGATTACTTTTGTTGGCATTTGTCAAGCCCAAATATCAATACACTGACCTTTTACAACATAAAAAATCTCTTTTATTATCTACATCAGGGGTCTCAAACCTGTGGCTCTCCAGCCCCTTCCAAGAAGCTCTCCAAAGGATTTCTGAATTATATGTATTATCCTGAATAACTCAAAATGTATTAATTACATGATTATTACAACTGGTGCTTAACACTGTGCAACTAATAAATGGATAATGGTTTATGTTGTATAGGCATCTAACTGTAGCCCATCTAAGGCTTGCCTTCTTTCTTGTATCAATTTCCTGCGATCCCTAAAATTAGTATCTCTCTAGCATTTTCATTTTGTAAAAGTAGAAAAAGGTTGGGGACCCCTGGGCTACATTCTAAATATGACAGTAATTACAGCACTAAAGGCTCGTATCGACTTCAGAACTCCCACAATATTATAACAATAACATGGATTATTTAGTATTATTTAAACTTAAACAATGTTAGGCTCAACAACCAAAAACCTGTTTGTTTTGGATGATTGTAGTCTATAGTCTGGTAACATATGGATATATAAGCCTATTGTTTTAAGTAGGCTACACACCTATAGTGGCCTTACTCAAAGGAGAGAGAATTTCCTAAAAGACAGGCCTGCTTTTAATTTCTTTGAATTTATGAAAAAGAATGTGAAAGGAAGAAAGCTACTTATGCTTTAATGCCCAAGAAGCGCGCACTCTAAGAAGGTAACTCAATAGAGCGAGATGATTTATTCCGTGCCCTTCATTTTAACTCTTGAATATTTACAGTAGTTTTAAAAATGTTTTCAAAAGTACAGGTAAAGTCTAATGAAGATATAGTGCAGTCCCGTGTTACCTGCGCAGATGAAGGCCTTGGGCTCGTGGCTGTGCGCTCTGTGGACCTTGTAACGCTTTTTCACCAAGAACGAGCGAGGCATGATGACGACACTAAAGCAGGACAGACACGGGTTACCAAAAGCTCTGGAAAACATTTAAAACCAGTAAGTAACTTTTTCAGTGTTAATAAAGGCCTTACTATGTATTTGATCTAACTAAAACGAATATTTCAAATGATTTCAATTTACGTCATACTTGGCTTGGCAATTTATAGAAACATGAGTAACTTTAAAATTCACTTAAGATTCGTTTTGGTTACGCCACGACACTTGTTTTTACATTTAGGTAACAAAATCAACTTCTCCTCGAGTAAAAACACATCAATAAAAGTTACTCACCGTGTAGGGCCTAGTTTTAAAATCCAAGTCAATAAATAAAACGGCAAATTGAAGTAAAAATCCTCAAATTCACAAAAAATAGAAGCTCTCCAAAGTGCATCCCAAATCTCCAAGTGTGCCAAAGTCAAAGCAGTGCGCGGTGCATCTCCACTTGTGGCCGTGTCTTTGCTCGTTCTCCTCCCTGATTTACAATCTGATAAGTGCGCAGGCCGAATCTGACCGTGCTTTCAGCCAATCACAGGCCGAGCTGCAGGTGCATATTTGCGTAAAAGGCGCATGTCAGGCGAACGCGCTAACAGTTACCCAAATCAAGTGCAGGAAGAGTTAGGAAAAGTTGCCCAGTTCAATTTGAAATGAATGTGTAAAAGATTGAAGGATATATTTAAACGGATAGCCAGAGCGCACAGCAAATACGTGCGTAAAATGAGCCAATTGAGATACTGAAGGTTATCTTAAGAAATATTAAACCCATTACTTTCTAACTCGTTATTTCAAGGCTAGCAAAGATGTTTGATTTTCAGATTGACTTCAATATCAAAATAACAAAAGTTAAAATGGTGCCAAGTAGCCAAAAGTAAAAAAAAAAAAAAAAAAGAAAAAGAAAAAAATATTTACGAACCATACCTAAGCCAACTACTCAAATAAGAGTAGCTGTTTGGACGTCATATTTGGTTTGTAATATAAAGTTTAATCAATTATAAGGGAAAAAAACATTAAATAATGCACAGAATTTAATATTTTCAAAAGAATGACCCGAAAAATGTAAAAATCATATCAGAAGGAACAGCACAAGAAACGCAAACGGTTAAATGGCCTTTCAGTCAACATAAAGCATTGTCACTTGTAGATTTACGCACAGTGAGAAGAGTGACAAAAAAAAAAAACCCTAACTTTTACTCAAGTAAGAGTACTGTTACTTCAAATTAGGCCTGGTCAAGTAAAAGACTGCAGTCTGAAAATTAGCCCACCCCAAATGTAGATCTACAGTTTCTTGATCAGTGAAAATAAATGTAGACCTTATGAATTTAGTTGCCTTCCTAACTGAACATTGGGCCTGAATAGTTGTTGTGTTTTCATGTCTGTCTGTTGGCTATCTTAAAATCTAAAAACACTCTCAAATGGGCCTTCAATCCGCAGCATTTGAATAAAGATACGGCGCGGTCTAAAGTGCAATGTCGCCATCTTGTGGACAGTCGTAAGAATGCATCAAGGATTTCATAATGCTGTTTTTTTTAGGCTATATATTACTGAAGTTGGAGTAAATATGACATAAATGTAAGAAAAATGTTATTAAAAGTAAACAAGCCCAATCAGAGATCGCAACCTGGTCCCCCATGAGGCATCGGTGGGGGCAGTTCATCACCACGGAAGCAGCTTATGAGGAGACCAGTCCATACCCTGGTTATCTGTGTGCCAACTTGTGTGATGATTGGGTGAATATTTTAGGCTGCAGATGGTTCAGAAATTGCCGAAATTGACTATCCTTTATAATGGCGTGACCTTTCAATTGACCCGTGTGACCTCAAATGACCTCGCCACCAAACTTTTTTTGCGGCATCGGGCTCGGAGGCTTGACCCACTTACCAAATTTTGGTGACAATCGGCCCATAAATGGCAGAATTATCGCTGGTGAACACACACACAGACACACAGGGTGAATACAAAACCTGGTCAACCCTTCGGGGACCATAAAAGTAAAACCAGCCCTAACTGAGTAGGCCTACTGCCATGATGCTCTAGTCATATCAAAATAACACAACAACTTTAACTTCAAACAATAATACAGCAAATACAGAGCCTACACTAACCAACTGATAAACAGTTTTGTACAGATTTGCCGGCTTCTGAACTCTGTAGACAACAAATGCAGACCTGAATGTGCCAGATTAAGACAATATGAAACAAAACACAAAATTATAGTGTTGGAATTACACATGATTAAAATTCAGACACTGGGTGAACAGTTTGTGCCTATAAGCCCTTAGCAGTGATGCATGATGGGCTTTTCTGGTGCTTGTGTGTTTGTGTATTAGGCAGCAGTACACTAAACAGTTCACACACCGCCTCGGGCTGCTGTACTTCATGTTTGCTTTAAGATAAAAAGTTGTTAAACTGATTAACTGCAGCTTACTAAAACCACAAACAGCCCAGGGGCCTTACGTTGTGATGAATCATCGTAAGTGAACTACTGAACTTTGTAAATCTTACAAATATAGACCTACTGCTGAGTTTAGGTTTGGCAGCCTATAGGACATTTGTGGTTGTTTGTAAGTTGTGCCTTGGGCAAAAAGTGCTCCATGTTATTTAGATGGTAGTTTAATTACCTACAATGTTCATAAAGGAATGCAGGCCATCCAATCTGAGCACAGGCTCTGAGGCTTGGGTTTGGATTGACCTATACTGTCATACAAAGGCAGAACACTGTAACATCATGTCTGGTCAAAAATGAGTTAACGTCATTTTGTTTGTATTTGAGACCTTCTTTATCATGTGAATAAATATTATGAAATACATTGAGCTCAAATTTATTTCTGACCCTTTTGTGTCATTTCCTGTATCTGCCTTTGTATCATGAACCAAAAGTAAGTTTTCGTGCAAGAGCAAAAGGCAGTAACAGTGTATGTTTTGTTTGTGATTTTAGTTCATAAATATATTTTAATATCCAACCTCTTAACACATTGACTAAATAATAAATAAATATATATTTGTATTAAATTATACTTAAATGATCTTTAATGTGAAAGTATTGTGTGTATTTATTCATACTGTACACACTATACTGCAAAGTCAAACTGTTTGACTGTGTAAGTGAAAGCCGCGCGATCCTGATCAGCACTAAACAGGAAATCCAAAGTTCTTCTATACCATTTCAAATAAACACATGATGACTCGACGTTGGTGAGATGTTCTTTAGAAGGGATGGAATCTGGAGAAAATCAAGCAAATAATGTCCATGTCAGTTTCTGCCTTTTGTCTTTGCACGACTTCTTATTTTTGATTACAGGAACTGACAAATAAGGGTCAGAGGTCCATTTTGAGCTCAGTGTTTTTCTCAAACAAATATTTCTTCATTATAGCAACTAGTGTCAATTTTTGGGAGCCCTGCCTGTTATGATTTGGTCTGGACAAAAAAGAAACTCTGAAGTGAGTTAAGCTCTTTTGCCTCTGTAGGGCAGTATGAGGTGGTTGTTATTGTTTACCCAAAGACTTGGAGTACTTACTTTTTTATTGAAATTGCTATTACATACCCATACCCTTAGATTCATGACTGATCAAACTTAACAGACATTTAGACTGTTGCAGACAAGTAGACAAACAAAAACTGCCATTACTCATTTGAAGTGTTCTTTTCCAGTGACAAATGTCATCTCTCCAGGCCCGGGTCTACAGTGCCAAGGGCATATTTCAACCTTATTTTAAAATGCTTGCACCCTGATTTTATGCAGTGTATACTCTGAATCCCAAGTAAAATTATGAAGGTTCCTTTACTAAGTCAGTTATAAACTACCCTGATTCATCATCTGGTTTCACTTCATGGAAATGGTCTGACCTCGCAGCATTAGGATTTGTTCGCTCAATGGTAGGCGGGTACTTTTTTTATTTAACCAATCACTGCTATTTGGTTGTGACGTATGTGATGCATCAGAATGCTCAGTGGTGTCCAAGTATTTGCCAGCACAACAGCAAACAAAGCAGAGAGTGAACATGTCTGTCAACAATCACTGTTGTTTCTGCGAGGTGAACTTGCGAAATAAATGTGCAATAAAAAATTAGAAGTTTGTATTTGTACAAAGAAGTGTATGCAGTCTGCTATCACAACTCGGGTTCAGCTCTTCACTGACTGGCCGGTGCGTGGTCTAAAACTTCCGGGGTTCTTACAAACCGTCACATGCAAGGGTGTTCACACTTTTTCAGCATGTGAGCTACTTACAAAATGACCAAGTCAAAATGATCTACCTAATACAAAGCCAAGCAAACTGCACTGAAACACTCTGTGCCCCTTTTTTGGACCCTCCCCCACAGTTTGAGAACCCCTTCTTTAAGAGAACTTCCTCTGGCACTTTACACAAAACTGTGAAAAAAGTGAAGGAAGATTTTTAAACCTGTTTTTTAAAGTTCCAAACTGGAGTTGCATTCTTTTCTGGTTTTGCAGTGATATTTACCAGCCTCTGCACGTTTACCAAACCAAACGCACATCGTGACAAACACAGATGCATTTGTGCACTTTTGTTAGACAAACTTGAATTTATGTCTCCTACTGTCTGCTCTGCTGTATCTGTCTTTTTTTGTTGTATTTCTGAGGACCCCCTTGAAAACGAGATGGTGAGACATTTCAAGGGGCTTATCCTCTAAACAAATACAATTCACATATTAAACAAAATTGACTCTTGTGAGCGTGAAACCATGTTATCTCATCAAAAACATAAGACAAAGCTACCTGGAGTTGTGTTTTGTTTCATTCACACATGTTTGAGTAATCCTTTATTATTAGTCTGTCTACATCTCCCAAACTCAAATTGCTCTGTTCCACCTTGTGATGTCATATAGTGGTAGTTTTCAAGTTAAGTCTTTAGTTCAGAGATTGTCAATTCCAGGGCTGAAATCATCCAGTTGATTCTAGTGACTCTATTACCACATGATGAGCTACTTATTTAGAATGGATTATTACCATTTTTATATTATTTTACTCTGTGTTATTGTCAGTGTTGGGAAGGTGATTTTTAAAATGTATTCCCCTACAGATTACAGATTACATACCCCAAAATGTAGTTTGTAACGTAATCCATTAAATTACTTAAAGTGAGTAACGTAATCTGAATACTTTGGATTACTTGATTTGCTGTAGAGAAGCAAAGACGATATTGTAACATAAGAAGTTTTGTCTGCTACAAGAAAATAAAAAGCCCAGACTTTACTGAACCAAATAAAAAATATTATTGATAGAAGAGGAGGACACACAGTCCACGCAGCATGATTTCGTCCTGTTAAATCTTGTTTTAGACCTGGTTTAGACCTGGTTTAGCCTTGGTGTAGTCCTGTTAAGTCCTGGTTCCGTCCTGGTTTAGACCTTGTTTAGACCTAGTTTAGAGCTGGTTTTAGACCTGGTTTAGACCTGGTTCAAAGTCCTGGTTTAGTCCTGGTTTAGACCTGGTTTAGACCTGGTTTTAGTCCTGCTTTAGTCCTGGTTTAGTCCTGGTTTAGACCTAGTTTAGACCTGGATTAGACCTGGTTTAGTCCTGGTTTAGAACTGGTTTGGACCTAGTGACTTAGTGTCCGGCAATGAGTGGAATTACCGGGAAAAAGAAGGGATCTAGCCCAAAATGTAAAAACAGGAAAATACCGACATGTAATCCTTTAATTTCAACAAAGTAACTGTAATCCAATTACCACTCACTGAAACAGTAACTGTAACCGAATACAGTTACTCATAATTTGTACTCTGATTACGTAACTCCGGTACATGTAATCTGTTACTCCCCAACACTGGTTATTGTAATATAATGTGATGTGTGAGCTACTGTGTCCAAGTCATTTCCCTTGTAGATCGATAAAGTTTGTGTCTAATGACATCACAAGGTGTGTTTTCTGTTTGAGAGAAGAACTCAGCCTTAATCTGCAGGTTTTGTGTGTTAAACATGTGTGAATGAAACAAAACACAACTCCAGGTCTGTTTGTGATGAGGAAACAATAATTATAACATAGATCAGAGACTAATATGAGCATTTTAATTTCCAAATGCATAATTTTAGCAGGGTTTATTATAATAGGATACGCCTATTCTATTTTAGTTCATTATAAAAAGTGACAATATTTAACTAAAGTAGGGTGACCAGATGTCCCTATTTATCCAGGATGGTCCCAGTTTTGAGCCCAGTGCCCCTGTCCCAGCAGAGTTATACAAAACCAGTGATTTGTCCCAGTTTTATACAAGAAATGTCCGGTGTTTTGATCAATCTGATCCCCATCAACAGTAAAGCGGGGATATATTGTCATACATTGTTTGTTTTTGCCAAAATACAAAAAAACTGAACTTGAAAATGACTAAAAAAGAAAAGAAAAGAAAAAAAAAACATGCACTGACAGAAGTCCTTCAGAACCAGTGTATCATTTGTTCATTTGTTTTTCAAAATAAAACCAAAAATAAGAAAACAAAAGAACAACTATTTTCTTCATTATTTGTTTCCAAAACCAACATGAAAAAATTGGATAACGACTAGTTTTTTTAGTTTTCGATTTTGTGTTTAAATGAATAATGGAAAAAAAGAAAAAAAAAAAGAAAAAAAAAAAAAGAAACAGATAACAGTTTCCCGTTTCCGTGACTTAAACTGCAATGCCTGACTGAACCAGGACTACAACAGGACTACAACAGGACTGAACCAGGACTACAACAGGACTGAACCAGGACTACAACAGGATTGAACTAGGACTAAAACAGGACTGAACCAGGACTAAAACAGGACTGAACCAGGACTGAACCAGGACTACAACAGGACTGAACCAGGACTACAACAGGACTGAACCAGGACTACAACAGGACTGAACCAGGACTACAACAGGACTGAACCAGGACTGAACCAGGACTACAACAGGATTGAACTAGGACTAAAACAGGACTGAACCAGGACTAAAACAGGACTGAACCAGGACTGAACCAGGACTGAACCAGGACTACAACAGGACTGAACCAGGACTGAACCAGGACTACAACAGGATTGAACTAGGACTAAACCAGGACTACAACAGGACTGAACCAGGACTAAAACAGGACTGAACCAGGACTAAAACAGGACTGAACCAGGACTAAAACAGGACTACAACAGGACTACACCAGGAGAAAACCAGAACTGAACCAGGACTGAGTGTCGAGATGGGCCCGAAGGCATGGTCAGGTGATCAGAAATGAGACCAGGACAAGGACCAGGAGTGAGACCGAGACTAGACCAGGACTGAGACCGGTTTAGTCCTGGTTCAGTCCTGGTTCTTCTTACTTTTACTTTGTTGCTCTCTGACCTCTAAATTGTCATGCTTAATTACTTGAGCATTTAACATTGCCAATTTTTTGTATCATATAATTTTTCATAATAAAGACTATGACCCAAAATTAGGGTGAGCGGATTTTCAATATTCTAAACTGTTCAACTGTACAACAACTCACCCTTATGTAACAGATAATACTCCCTACAACTGTACAACAGCTCACCTTCATGTAACAGATAATACTCCCTACAACTGTACAACAACTCACCCTTATGTAACAGATAATACTCCCTACAACTGTACAACAACTCACCCTTATGTAACAGATAATACTCCCTACAACTGTACAACAACTCACCCTTATGTAACAGATAATACTCCCTACAACTGTACAACAGCTCACCCTTATGTAACAGATAATACTCCCTACAACTGTACAACAACTCACCCTTATGTAACAGATAATACTCCCTACAACTGTACAACAACTCACCCTTATGTAACAGATAATACTCCCTACAACTGTACAACAACTCACCCTTATGTAACAGATAATACTCCCTACAACTGTACAACACCTCACCCTTATGTAACAGATAATACTCCCTACAACTGTACAACAACTCACCCTTATGTAACAGATAATACTCCCTACAACTGTACAACAACTCACCCTTATGTAACAGATAATACTCCCTACAACTGTACAACAACTCACCTTCATGTAACAGATAATACTCCCTACAACTGTACAACAACTCACCCTTATGTAACAGATAATACTCCCTACAACTGTACAACAACTCACCTTTATGTAACAGATAATACTCCCTACAACTGTACAACACCTCACCCTTATGTAACAGATAATACTCCCTACAACTGTACAACAACTCACCTTTATGTAACAGATAATACTCCCTACAACTGTACAACACTCACCTTATGTAACAGATAATACTCCCTACAAACTGTACAACAACTCACCCTTATGTAACAGATAATACTCCCTACAACTGTACAACACTCACCCTTATGTACAATAATACACAACTGTACAACAACTACCCTTATGTAACAGATAATACTCCCTACAACTGTACAACAACTCACCCTTATGTAACAGATAATACTCCCTACAACTGTACAACAACTCACCCTTATGTAACAGATAATACTCCCTACAACTGTACAACAACTCACCCTTATGTAAAAGATAATACTCCCTACAACTGTACAACTCACCCTTATGTAACAGATAATACTCCCTACAACTGTACAACAACTCACCTTTATGTAACAGATAATACTCCCTACAACTGTACAACAACTCACCTTCATGTAACAGATAATACTCCCTACAACTGTACAACAGCTCACCTTCATGTAACAGATAATACTCCCTACAACTGTACAACAACTCACCTTTATGTAACAGATAATACTCCCTACAACTGTACAACAGCTCACCTTCATGTAACAGATAACTCCCTACTGTACACTGTACAATACAACTGTACAACACCTCACCCTTATGTAACAGATAATACTCCCTACAACTGTACAACAACGCACCCTTATGTAACAGATAATACTCCCTACAACTGTACAACACCCCATGTCCTGTCACTCATCATATAATTGTTGCTCTGTCTTCCTATGACCTCTTGTATAAAGTTGAGATTTTATTATTTCTTCTTTTTTTTTTTACTTGTACATTTATATAATGTACATGTCTTATATATACATAATTATATAATTGTGTCTTATTTGACAACTGTCTCTTGCTCTTTTTGCTACTTATTTTGAAAGTATTATTATCATTTATATTTTTGTTCTTTATTATATTTTATTGTGACATGTGAGCTACTGTGTCCAAATTATTTCCCTTGTGGATCAATAAAGTTTGTCTAAGTCTTAGTTTAGTCCTGGTTTAAAGTTTAGATCAAATTTGTCAAAAAATAGGCACACAAGGGACATTTCTTGTATAAAACTGGGACAAATCAGTGGTTTTGTATAAATCTGCTGGGACAGGGGACACAGGGCTCAAAACTGGAACTGTCCCAGGTAACTAGGTCTGGTCTGGTCACTTTAGCATAATAAAAAAAAAAAAAAAAAAAGAAAAGAAATCCCTCAGATTATGACCCAGACTGAGTCGAGAATGGGCAATGTTAGGCATTCTTTTCACAATTTTATTTATACCAACCTGGGTGTGTCCCAGTTTAGTTACTTAAGTCTCGTCTTAAGACCCACTTTTAGTCTTTTAATACATTCTGGCGAGCGTTGTGTGGTCGTCTGTGTCTTTTATTTATTTTACTTATTTGCTGCTATTTTATTATTTTTATGGGTTTGCATTTATTTTAGCAAATTTACCAAATTTTAGCAATTTACCTTTTTGTTGTCTTCACTGTGGCCATATCAGCTTGTCAAAACCGGATCCTGTCAGATCTCAGAAGCTCAATGGGGCCTGGTCAGGACTTGGATGGGGAAATCAGGTGCCACAGGGAGGCGCCAGTCTCAAAAACTGTCATTGCGTCCTTAGGCAAGACACTTCACCCACATTGTCTAATATGAAAGTTTTGTGTGTGTGTGTGCGTGAGTGATGGTGGTGGTCAGAGGGGGCGATGACGGTCTGTCAGTCTGTCCCAGGGCAGCTGTGGCTACAATAGTAGTATGGGGTGAATATAAAGTGACGAGTGTCCAGAAAAGCACTATATAAAACTGATGTATATTATTATTATTATTATTATTATTATTATTATTATTGTTCTGTGGATTTGACTTTTAAAATTTAAAGTGTATTTTACGGCTCTCTCACGCACGCGCCTTTACCTGATTAGAAACATTAATTTGCGCGTGCGCTCTCCACATGTGGGTCACGCGAAACCGCATTACACTCTTCACCCTTCCACCAAACGGAGAAAAACAACCGCGGCGCATCGCTAAAAGTCACGCCCGGGCCCCACAGCACCCCACACGCACCCCTCCTCTACTTCTCCGCCCGTGAAACAACTTCTCCCCGCCGCTTTCGTGTCCGGGAGCCGTTAAACCGCCGCGGACGCGTCCCGGGGAACCGAACTTGAGGGGATTAGTTTCAGCCCCGCGGCGGAGGAACACGGCGGTGGGATGGGTTGTGCGGTGTTCAAGATGGCGGCGCCCTGTGGAGTGCAGCTACTCTAACAGGTAAACAGCTCCCGATTTTCTGCTACCCGACCCGTTTCTGTGAGCGATCGCGGGCGCACACGATCCCGGTTGTGAAAGACGGGGTGTTGGGCTCGCTTGACGGCCGGGGAGAGGGGCCTGTCATGCGGGGTGAGGGTCGGGTCCCGCTCGGCTAATGTTAGCTGTGTGTCGGCGCTCGGTGGAGGCTGGAGCGGGTTGTTTTTGGAAAGAGCCAGTGGTTGGATCGGGGGGGATGTTGGTGGGTTTATCCGCATGTTTCGGCGCTAAATGGGATGTGTGCCGCGGTTCCAGGGCGGTATGCCGGGGCCGGTGCATGTGCGGGCTGGGTAATCGGATAAAGCAGCGTTAAAGCCAACCCTGCCCATTGTTCTCTGCGAGTTGTTTACGACAAGCAGCAGCAGCGGCAGCAGCAGCGGCGGTGGTGGTGGTGGTGGTGGTGGAGGCTGTGGTCAGTGCACACCGGGCTACAGCGACCACACGACCCCATTTACCCGGGACAGTCCTAGTTTTGAGCCCCCTGTCCCAGCAGATTTATCCAAAAAACACTGATGTGCAGTGTTGGGGAGTAACAGATTACATGTACTGGAGTTATCAGAGGACAAATTATGAGTAACTGTTTTCAGTTACAGTTACTGTTTCAATGAGTGGTATTTGGATTACAGTTATACTGCTGATGTGTCCCAGTTTTATACAAGAAACATCCCAGGTTTCACTATTCTTGACCAATCTGACACCTGCCTACAGTGAAGAGTAGGGGTGTGCAAAAATGTTGAAATATCAATATATCGTATCATTAAATGTGATGATACAATATCGATATCATGGGGTGCTGTATCGATATATCATCTAGAGTGTTTTTTGGTATATTTTACTAGTTATTTTGTTACAGAGCTACAGTTTTGTTGCTTGTTCAGAGGAAGGAAACTGTTTATCCAGCACATTTGACGTGTTCACTGTTTTGATGACTAAAATGGTGCCTTTCATATTAACTTTGCACAAGAAGTGGTTCAGCATAGACTTTTATTATCACAGCCATGAGTTAGCTTTAGTTTTTTTTTACTGAACTGTATTGAATGGGTTTGAAATATACTGTATCAAATCAAAGATGCACTGTATTGAGATATGTATCGTATTGTAGTCTATGTATTGTATCGTATCAGCAACTTCTTAATGATACCCAGCCCTAGTAAAGAGAGGCATAAAGTGGAATTTGTTTAGGTAAAATACAGAAAGACTGATTAAAAATGACCATAAACCAGACCAAAAAATGTGACTATACTGACTCATGTTAGTCATGAATGGGCAAAATGCAGAACAGTCTTCCTTAATTATGCACTCATTTCACAATTGTATTATTCCCAGCCACCACAAACCAGGGATGTCCCAGTTTTTGTTTAGAAAATTTGGTCACCCGACAGTTGTCCCCATTTCTGACCAATCTGATCCCCTCCAACAGTAAAGGGAGGAATATATTTGTCATTTGTTTAGCTAAAATATTGAAACCATGCTTGAAAATTACAATAAGACCAAAAAAACAAGCTACAACAGACCCTCAGATTATGACCGACCCACAAATGAGTTGAGAATGGACAATGATACTCACTCGTTTTACAATTTTATTTATACCAACAATCCCAACCCAAGTGTGTCCCAGTTTTTAATTCTGAAAAGCTGGTCACCCTACACCGGGCTGTGTCCTGTCCGCGCTGTCTCTGCACACTGAGCCAGGCCAAAGGCAATGCACTTCAGCTCAAAAGACACCGTTACCATGTTGGTATAAACCAGGGGTCTCCAGCCTGGAGCTTGCGAACTACTAGTAGCTCTCCATCCCCTTCAAAGTAGCTCGCCAATGGATTTCTGTATTATTTGTATTGTTTTGAATAACTAAAATTTTACTCATTACCATTCTAAATGTATAATTTTGAGGCCTAACTTTGTATTCTAACAAATGCATAGTGTTTTATGGTTTAAAGGTGTCTAACTGTACCCCATCTAAGGCTCGCTGTGGCTCTTATATGTACTAAATTTCTTGTAAACACTAAAATTAATAGCTCTCTGGCGTTTTTGTATGGTAAAAGGTTGGAAACTTCTGGCATAAACAGATGATGAACTAATGATGTCAGTGCTGTAGTACCATCGTGTATGAGCCAAGTGAAAAGAGAACATTTTTATATGCAGTTAAGTGGTGATTACAGCTAAAATGGCAAATATTTGACATCTAATGCTATGGGAGCAGTCACTGACAAAATGCAAATGAGCGTTTATTTTCTCGGACTGTTTTGTGCCGCATGTCAGACTTTATGAAGACTGCAGACACATCAAATTGACTCATTCTATGGTCATTATAGCTGGTATATTTATGTATATACTCTATAAAAGTCTAATGAATGTGGTGCAGCGTTTCATGAAACAGTGCTTCTTTTCCAAGTATATGTTTGCCTCTTAGCACTGTATTTCAATTATTTATTTCTACATCCTTACATCTAATATATTGTCAGAAGTCCTACAGTAATATTATGTGCTGTTTTAATTGATCACATCTCAAACTTAAATACACCGTTTTATTGCAATAACAGTTCAAAAACAGTGATCAACATAGACCAAGGTTCTGTGATTTGTTTCCATGCTGACAATATGAATCTTATTCTCTTAGAATATGACAGCACTAAAGACTTGTCCTTGGTTTTAGAATAGAAGAAGTCGCCTCTAAAATGTGGTTAGTAGGGATGTAACAATAAAAAAAATGCTGTGATATTGTATCGTCAAAAGCCACAAAATAATTTTGTGGGCCGTTTGTTTCTTTGCTTAAATTCATTGTTATGGTGCAGCAACATCTTAAAAACAGACAGAACTACATTGACCATGATCCTTTGCTTTTTTTTAGGCCAATCAACATGATAAAACAACTGTTATTAAGCACTTTTAAATCTTAAATCTTTGAATTATGACAGAAAAGTAGCATATTCAGTTTTGTTTCACAATAAATATCGTGCCGTGAGATGCATATTGTGAAAATATCTTATTGAGAGATTTTGGTATTGTTACATTTCTAGTAAATTTTGTGAGATTAGAATATTGTTACATCCCTGGTTAGATTTGGTGTCTTTGGTGAAGTAATGAAACACTGATCAGCACTTTTTATGCTCTCTTTTTGCCTCCAGCATCTTGTATTGTATTTTTGTACTTTGCATGCTCTCCTGTCTTTTGTAGTATTGAGTATTTCTCCAGGTTTATACATACTCCTGCCCAGTGCCCAGATCCTTCTTTTCTCCTCCTGACTGAAGCTCTGGCCTCACAGAAGCAGAGTAGACCATAACTTTGGCAGTAGAGATGAAAATAATAGTTACAATATTTTTGTTCTGTAAAAATGCAACTTTTTCTCTGAAACAATGAGTTAAAGTGTTGAATAACTGTAATCTTTTTCCAAGTTGGCTGCACTGAAAAGGCCCGATATTGCTGTCACTTTTGGATCAACACTTCCTGATTATCTGACAGTAAAATGCTTTTTAATTAGATGCAGACAGTTAGTGGAGCCAATCCCAAACAAACAGACCCTTCCAGGAGTGACGTGTTTAGAATTGTTGCACACAGTTTGGTGCTGATATGAACGTTCTATCTCATTCATTAATAGCATAGAAAAATAAAGTGTTAATATTAACTTTTGTAATATATTTGTAACGTTTGGCAAGGAGTAATACAAGCCAAAATCTAACTTCAGCATGACAGTATTAAGTCGACCAAGTTTCAGTTCACTATTCAGTTTACAAGTACTTTTTACAACTCTCTGAGACCAGTGTGGAGCAGTAACGGTGATGTTAACGTGCACTCCCTGATTATCGGACATTTGTTTATTTTATTTTGCATGTTTTTTGTTATGATAGAGGCACATTTGTTAATGTAGGGTGACCAAATGCCCCTATTTACCCGGGACTATCTCAGTTTTGAGTCCTGTGTCCCCTGTCTCGGCAGATTTATCCAAAACCAGTGATTTGTCCCAGTTTTATACAAGAAATGTCTCAGGTGTCCCTATTTTAACCAATCCCCGACAACAGTAAAGAGGCAGATATATTGTCATTTGTTTTTGCTAAAGTAGAGAAAACTGATCTTCAAGTCATGAAGACGGGAAAAATTATTAATTTAAACACAAAATCAAATTGTTATGCGGTTTTTCATTTTGGTTTTGAAGACAAATAATGAAGAAAATAGTTGTTTTTTTTTTTGTTTTCTGTTTTGAAAAAAAATGAACGGATGATACACAGAATGATACACAGATTACTCTGTATTAGTGCTGTTCTGATTAAATTTTTTTTGGGATTCATTGTGATACCGATATTTGGCCTTCGTGCATTTGCTGATACCAGTCCGATATCACAGTGTGAAGAGGGAGACTAAGGCGACTCAATTTTGTTACTACTGTATTTTCCGCACTATAAGGCGCACTCATAAGCCTCCAACCGCATCAAAAAACAACTGCGCGCCCCACAATCCAGAGCAGCCTATACACGAATCCACTCAGGTGTCCCAGCACGACTTCAGTAAACTACAAAGCCGCACCACCCGCAGCGTACGCATGCACACATGGAGCAGACAGCGACCGCACAGTGAAAAACACCCACAGACACACATCACTCCACGCCAATGAGGAACGGAACAGAGGAAGGAACTGTGTGCAATGTGCCACTGAGTCACTGCGAACACGCCGACAATCCAGTGGTCCCAGACAGCACCCTCCCTACACGCCACAACTGAACAAAGCCCAGAGTCACCGTGAATGCGCCAAACAAAGTCCCACGCACCCATCCAACTGTTGTGTTTCGTTTAATGCGCCTTATAGTCCGGTGCGGTTTATATGTGAAAAAAGTTCAAAAATAGACCATTCAGTGACAGTGCACCTTATAATCCAGAGGGCCCTATGGTGTGGAAAATACGGTACTTCTAAAAGGTTAAACTCTGTAAAGAAAATCTAGGAGAATAAATTTGATTTTGAGAGCTAAGTGAGTCAGATACATAATGACCTTGACCATAAGTAGTGCTGATTTAAGCACTTGTACTAATTCTAATTCTTCGCTTTCTATCACAGTGCCTGGATAAAACCAACAGTGAGGCCTGTAAAAAGACTCCTCCACAGTCCATCTGACCTGCTCTGGGCGGCCGTGCACGCACCTACAGGTCCTCATTATGGAAAATACAGAGTGGTATCGGATCTGTGATTTGGGCTGAGTACTCGCCGATATGATACCTGAAAAAATGTGGTATCGTATCGGAATAACCCTATTTGGTATGGCAGGAAAGTACCTCGCCGTTCCCTGTCCTGTTGCTCTCCAAATAGATATGAGTCTAGCAGATACAGCAGTCCATCTGTGAATTCCTGGCACTACCTTACATGTGGTAATACATTAGTTACTCCCATTAGAGCAGTAGATTCTCAGAGGTGACAGTGCATGACTTTCTGCCTTGTCATGCCCGGTTGGTACCATGACTCAGCCGCACTAATCGCATCAGAGTTCAACTTGGACAAAAATCTTCAGCCAAATCTGCTGCGCTTTGAGTTTTAATACGGAATCATTCTGACAGAGTCTAAAATCTATGGGCAGGGTTCACATGACATCACAATATTGCAGAATTCCCATGGTTTAAACAGAACTGGAGGACAGGTCAGGGTACTGTCATGGAATTTGCTGTTTAACAGGGATTGCAGATTTATTGACCTGGTTTAAGGTTTGTATCTCTGTAGTCACTGGGGTTATCCACATGAAACAAAGTCTGGCACACAAGTCAACATCTTCTCTGCCAGTATAAATAAACAAAAGTGAAATGATTTTTTTCACAGCAGCGTCAAAAATTGGTGCAATTATTCAACCCCAAAAATATGATTGTTGGCAGTGGAAAGGACTTTAGACATAAGATTAATATGGCAGCTTTGTGGAGCCAATCCCAAACAAATAATGAGAAGGTTCAACATTTGTGGATCAGAATTTTGGAGATTTATTTTCTCCCATTTTTAGGTTATTAAACCCTTGCCCATGCCTTCCTTTTGAAATTATGAAATCAAATTCAACAATGTGAACAAAAGATATTTGGTATGAAGAAATACTAGTACTAAGTTCGCTCAAAGACTAGATCTCAGAATATAGAAGTGTTGTTGTAAATGAGTCATGCCTCTAGTATCAATTTTAATTCAAAAGTGTTTTATACTGACAAAAAAATGTATTATTTTAAAATTAATTTATGCCATACTGACACAATAAGAGATACACCGATCTTTTTCAGTTCTGATACTGATTTCAGTACTATATCTTAAAGTAGCAACCGATAGCAGTGCTGAAAACAGCATTTATTTCCTTTTAAGATAAAACTGATCTAAATGTCTAGCTGTGAATTTTTTTCAGTATTGACATTGATGCCAATGCCAGTATTGGATCTCTGCATCCCTACTATAATCCTAAAGCAGACTAATCCAAAAAAATATTCTGTACAGTATTGTGAAAAAAACTAAATATGAGCTGCAATTGATAAATGGCAGAGTGAAACACTTTAGTTGTTAGTCTGTATCAGTAATGAGTCATAGAAAATCAAATGTTCTCGTAGTGCAGTGAAATAATTTAAAAAAATCACTAGTGTGAAGAAAAACTATCTATAGACCTCGTAAAATATTGTTCCATCTGTTTTTTATTGAATGAGAAGTTAATATAGTGATTATTATGGCCAATTCCCAAGTGACTTCCTGTATGGAACCAATGTAATGCAAACCAGTGGATTTGCAAATAAGATGCAAACAGTGTGCACCGCCTCATCAACATCAGATCTAGATTATTATATGTGATTGTGAATGAAAGGTAATCTACTTATTTACGGAGGAGTCCTGGTCCTAGTGTGTTTGTGGTTTGATCCTCACTACTGCCACTGTGTCCTTGGGCAATAACCCAGCTCTGTTGCATTTATTTGCTTGAGTGTAAAAGTTGTTCAGGGATTGTACTGTTGTACTTACCGTACATTTAAAACACTGCCGGTGTATTTCTGAGACATCGCCCACCTTCCCTCTAAGCAAATAATGGTTTGAAATCGGGTCTGAGAGTTTTTAGCTTGGTGAGAACATTAGTTGAGTGTTGTTTGGTCCTGTGGATGAAACAATGCTTTGCTCTGTTTCAGTCCGACATGAAGAAAGCGCTGTTGTGAGCCTTCTACTTGGACACAGGTAGACAATAGCAGGCAGTGAGCGTGTGGAATGCTTGTCTTGAACCAGGTCTGGAGGTTTCAGTCCAGTGGAAGTCTGCAGTGGTTTATAAAGCCCTTCTTTGTGCACTGCTTCTTGTTGTTTTTGTATGTGCCTCTGACCTGTCCCCAGCGTCCCTATGAAAAACAACCATGTCCCCAGCAGCCCGGACAGGCCTGTGAGCTCCCCTCACTCAACAAAGAGCTGTGTTTCACCGCACACACACATGTATGAATGCTGACAGATGTGCTGTAAACACAACAGGGATCTGCAGGTATTTAAGATGGAGGTGACACCAGTGATTGGTGTGTGGCATTCTCTGGTACTGCTTGGTTTGTTGGTTAGTGTTAACAAAAGGACTTGAATTGTGCTTTTGTCATATTTATATTTTATATATAAATTAAATATACATGTCTAAAAGCCTATTTCGGATTACAGCATGCTCTTGTTTCTAGCAGGGGGTACATGGACAGGAGTGAGACAGTTTAAATAAGATTTCAAACAATAACTGCTAGTTACAATTAACAATTCATGCTTTGAAGAGTCCCCAGGGAAGGAGAGCACCACCTCATGATGTCACAAGTCACAATGTGAAACAGAAAATCTTTTCTCTTGACATGCAGAGAGCCTGAATAGTCTGGATTACTCAAACATGCCTGATGTAAACATAATGCAAATGATGGGTGTCAGTGACATAACATTGTACCGAGCTGTTGTTTTGCTCATATGCAGATGAATTGCACTTGAATAAATAACATTCCTGTCATGCTCATGGGGCCACTTGTGTCACTATACATGAAATGGTCAAACTTTTTCTAAACCATGCTACCCTTGCCCCCCTGATGAGCCTGTCTTGTCCGGCCCTTCTCTTCCCTGGGGTCTTGTGTGAGTCAGCTGACCCTAATTCTCCTGTGTGTTGCAGTGGTGGGTGCAGATTGTAGCGTGGGTGGGGCTGCCGGGTGGACCCCCCTCACAGAGCACTGGCACCATGTCCCGGGAGCAGCCCAGTGTGGGCGACCTGCTGCCCCACCTGGAGACCTCCGACCTGCAGCAGCTCGACCAGATCCGAGGCCTTATCAACGAGCAGCTCAGCACCGGTAACTCTCACTGTTTATGTCCCTCAAATCATTACTTTCACTGAGTCATCCTTATGTAATGTTAAAGCCATAGTATGCAACTTGTCAGCCCAAAAATATATATTTTTTTATTGCGTTTATGTTTGTTTGTTTTTTTAAGCACATGCATCCTTGCTTTGAGCAGGCTTGCATCTCCACAAACCTGACTCTGATTTAGCCTGAAGGAAGGCCTCCTCCTGCTTGTTTCCATGGAAATGTTGTCTTGGCTATACTCTTCCACAGTATGGCAAAACCATGGTGATGCACTGATACCAATACTGGTATCGAATATCTATTCAAATATCTGAACTGATATCCTGGTTGGACGATTAATTGGATGTAATAATACTATTTACTGGTTGATTATAAGCCTAGGGCATCTCATAATGTTTGTATTTTTGTTATAGCAGTTATAACTGTTATAGCAGTTCAGTAGTTACTAACAGGATAAACAAGTTACATAATACAACTGGATTCATTTTGTGTTTTGGGAGAAAAAAGTAATTTCTAGTTCCTACCCTTGTATTGGTTAATATCAGGTATCAACAGATACTTAAAGCATAAAGTATCAGAACTGACAAAGCTGGATCAGTGAATCCCTGCCATAATGTATAAAGTATTGTTTTAACTTTTTATTTCCAGGAATAGAATCATGCAGGTGATGTGCCACCTCAAAAGAGTTGCATACTGTAGCTTTTGAAATAGAGGACTGTGCTGAAATGGAGGAGCTTATTTCTCTCAAGTCTGTTTATTATTTTTGTAAATCATTCCATTGTCCTTCCAGAGCGAGGGTCCATGCTGCTCAATGGGTTAGTGGACTACTATCTGGAAACCAACTCGACCCAGGCCGTGCACATCCTCTGCTCTGTGCGCGAGCCTCATGACAAGGTGAGTGGAAAACTGCACCACTCAAATAGTCCAGACAATGCTTCACTGTTCAAAATGTGGTTAAGGGCTGGGCCAGAGAATTATACAAAACAACAAAAACAAATGAAAACTACATTGTGAAATAATTTTGTGTGTTTCTGACAATTTATGTCTATGGTGATTCATATTCAAGCTCAGGCACATGTGCAGTCCCATTCCCCTCCCATTCCTCCTATTGCGACTAAAATATAAATAAAAACAAATCATAATCACGAACTAGGTCTAAAAGTACATACATTGTTGTTGTCTAAAACAAAAAGTAGATATTTATGTTGATTAAAATGTTCTGATATGTTTGAAAAATAATAAAAACTTAACAGTCCCTGAGCCCCAAACCAGACCATAAACTTCACACTCAAGAGACATGTCTGTACATGTCCCATGAAGCAATCACATATAAGTGATCAGAGTTACAAAATAAAAAAATAATACATGAAAAAGGAATATATTATAACACTATTAGTGTTCTATTATTACTATGGATTTTATCAAGTCAATTATCATGGCATAGATAGATAATACTTAGATAATACACAATGATACATAATAACATCATCAGTAATAATCAGTAAGGCATTTTGATATTGTAGAGGCAGATTTAAATAAAAATTTCTTGTGAGAATGAACACTGTTGTGAGTGACAGATGTAACTTATCACTAGGGAGCATCATTTGCCCAACTTTTTGAAATTTTTTTGAAAATCACTCTGTACCTAGTATCAATTTTTTACACTTGCCAAAGTAAAATTCCATGAGAAAGTTCATGGAATTCTATTGATGTCTACTGGGTCCACCAAGCCTCTGAAGTTTAGTGCCTGTGGAAGCCTTAAATCTGTGCTAAGAAATCATTTTTTCTGTAATAACATCCTTATTCTTTCTGGAAGCTTGGGTTTACCAAACCCTGGGCCGTACCTGTCACTGGGTCGCTCTGGGTGACGTCACTCTCACTTACTCCACTTTTTTATACAGTCTATGATCACTAGAGAAAGAACAAACTTTATGTCTCTCATTTCATCTTTGGCCTTTGTGGATATGGGATAATTATGAAAAAACACTCAAAATCTTGTAAAAAATTGTCATATCTTAGAAAGTTAGAGATATAAAATTGTTACCAAAAGATGTGGAATAGCAACATTTATATTCAGCTTTCATTGGCCCTAAATTGATTATTTTTAAAGTTATTTGAGAAAAACGTATTTTTCTGCCAAAGCCTTATGGACACTGTTAGGATGGAACTTAAGAGGCTCGGTGGACCCAGTAGATATTATTCAACTGAGCTAACACTCCACAGATTTTCTTTTATTTGGCATTGACACATTTTAAAATTGGGTACAACTTGAATTTCTGACACTGGGGCAATGATGCATCTACTGATCACAGTGAAGTTTCAGCTCTGTATGGAGTTACCACAATGTACAGCTAACAACAGCATTACCGGGCTCTCAGATAATCAGATAACGATATTTTTGCTATGTGACTCATCCGCTAAATATATGAAAAGAGCTGAAAGTTAGAAACTGCTGCTGTGAAAGAGCTTGTTGGTACCGTTACAAATCTTTTTTCTGTAACTGGATAAAATGCTAAAACTGGTTTCCACATAGTCATGTGAGCTATTAGCGTTACTACCACTTGTGCAACAGTTAGTCTTCTCTGCTGTGATGAAGCAGAAAGTGTCACTAAGTTTGTGGGTGTGAGAAAACCATCCACAGTCTAAACTTTAACAACAACAGCTGCCTCAAGATCAGCCCTGAACACTGAGCCGTGGCACAGGGAAACTCTCTTATCCAAAAATGAATAGTAGACTCATTGTTTGAATGTTGGCACTGAAGTTATTCAGATTCTCTGATTAAACGTTGCATCATTTGAGAGTGATATTAAAATGACAGTATGTTAGCTGTTTGCCATACAAATGTGAAGGCAGCGCTTGACTGTCACAAGGGAGTCGGATCCTTGATTCGCCATTAGATTAGAACAGTTCATATGATATAAAATGTTGCTACTGTTTCTTTGTACTGTGAAGTTAATCTTGAGAAAAATGTTAGATTGTCAGAAAATGCATTTTTTTTGCTGTTTGCTTTGTACACAGAATATAAATTACTTCAGTATTGTAGCCAAATCTCAGAGGCTGATGCATTTAATTTTGTTGCGTACTTGCCCAGATTGTAAATAATTTGAAAAGTATGCTGTGTATGTTTTCTTCTAGTTCATCTCATTCATTCATTCATGTAATCTAGAGCAGTGTCACAAAAACATTCAGTTTTACTATTCCCAGGATTGTTACATCACAGGTAAAGTCAGTAAACATTTCCAGGCTTATCTAGAGCAGGAAGTGAGGTTTACTTTCATACTTTAATCTAAGTTCTTAAATGCAAACACATTTTTAAAGGTGCACTGTGTTAATTTTGTGGTGGAGGGTCCGCCACCTGTTTGTGTCTAATGGAGATGTTATTGCTTTGTCTAGAATGTCACCACTGTATGGCATTAAAGTTTTATCTCTTTGGAAACAAAGTTGTTTGTTGTTGTGATTAGGCCAAGTTACACATCTTATCTGTGAAAAGGAGAGCCTGCTATGTGCTGAATTGCAGGCAAGGCAAAAACATCTTTATAGAGACAAGCTGTGTGGGAGACAGAAAAGTTACATAGTTCACCTTTAAAGGGCAATAACAATACACATAATGTCTAATGTATGTTCTTTAAAACTGCACTACATTTTCAAACCATGAAAGAAGAGAATACATGAATCCAACCAGTTCCAACCAACCTAGCTCTCACTAAACTTTGGCAAATCCTTCATATTCACATGCATGAATTTTCAGCAACATGCAAAACCTTCTTCAAAGAAGTGAAGTTGGAAAAAAACAAAATGTACTCACTAACAAGAAAAAAATCAGGTACTTTAGATTTTCCTTTACAGTACTCCATTCATTTCAATAGTCACATTTAGACTGCTCTTAAATCACAAAGGATTCTGAGAACACAAGTTGTAATTCTAGGTATTTTTTTCCACAGCTGACTATTCCTGAAGACATCACGCACAAATAAACTAAAAGCCTTCTTTGAGCAGCTCTCGTTTTCATGAAATACACACAAATATTCATGTTTCGTGGTTTAAAGGCAGACCTGCAGCAGACATGGACTGTAGAGTTTGGGTGGTTATAAATGTGTTTGGTAAAAAGCTGCTGTGTGAATCATTGATTCCTCTCATTAATGATTACTGCCCAATCTGTCTCTACTGCCCAAAGCAACAGTATGCAAAGGCACTGCCACTATCACACTGTTACTCTTACATTTAACAATGTTAGCCCCGCTGAACTTAATAATAATGCATTTTATTTAACAGTGCCTTAAAACACTATACAAACAACAATTAATAAACCCACAATTAAAACAGCTGGATTTCAGCATTGAAACTGGCAACCCAAATGAGAGACTCACGTGAGGCTCATTCTTTCTGATTGGACATCATCTTGAACCAAAACAACTTATAACATAAACAATTTGGCTATTATGTCTATGTTTTTGTAAGTTACAACAAATTGATATACCGTAGCTTTTATTGATAATACTGATTTGAACATGTTTATGTTGCATCTGGAGACACAGGTCAAGTTTATACAATTTCAAATCAAAATTTCACATACTGCCCCTTAAATGACCTGTGCTTGTTCTCACCGCAGCACCTTTTGGACAAGATGAACGAGTGCATGACCAAACAAGCGTGTCGGCTGCCCACCCTCACCCTCCTGGGCCACGTCATCCGCAGACAGCCGTCCTGGATCCACAAGATTGCCCGCCACCCCCTGCTTCTGTCGCTGCTTAAATGTCTCAAGGTACGGCGGGTACACTGAAGACAGGGGCAGCACCTGACACTCTGGCACTAATGGGTTCTCATGGTGGTCTCAGGAAAAGAGGGAGTAGGGATGAAAAGCTGCACTTAGACCCATAATTTAGTATGTGTAGACTACCAGTCAAAAGTCTGGACACATTTAATTTTCATTTTTCATTTTCATTGCATTTTACACTTCAAAATCAAAACTATGAATGAAGGTTGTAAACAAAAAAATAAATGCAAAATAACTCAAAACGTATTGCAGAATTTTTGAAATAGTCCACCATTGCTTTGAACACTGCGTTGAACATAGATTTTTCTTGACCCTGAGGCACAGTTAAAGTGAAAACTATTTCAGGAGACTTCATCATGAAGCTCATTGAGAGAAGGCCGAGGGTTTGCAGCGCTGTCGACAAAACAAAGAGTGGATACTGTGAGGAATCTGAATATAAAATATAAAAAAATACATATTTTTTAATTTTTTCTTTACGCCATGATTCCACAGATCTTGCCCTTGTATCTAAAATGTAGAAAGTGGTAAACAGGCTTGCCTGGTCGTGGTTAGCCTGGCGTGGATGTTGTCTCGTACAGGTCGAAGAAAAACAAGGCCTATGAATTTTGCAGCATGTAGCTGAATTGGATATAGCCTGGAGAGATGGACATAACTAAATGACACCATTTAGAGTGTCTGGTTCTCTCTAATGAAATTTATGTTTTAATTAACAACTAATCGGATTGTTTTCTATGGCACAACTGGCAATACCTCAAACCACACTGGTTGAAAATCAGTGGCTAGGGTTGTCATAAGATGGTTACTGCTGCAGATACGTGGTGTAGGAGAGTCAATGTCAACTGATCACACAGGGATAACATCCCAGTGATGGATCACCTACACGTGTCCTCAGCTGGATCTATGAAGACCAGAGTCATCAGCATCATAGTCACTCACTATATTTAATCTGTCTTCTGTTGTACCGAAGTGTTTACAATCTTATTTTTCATGCCATTGAATCACAAAGTTGAACAGTTATTGCCTTGTCCACTTTGTATCAATGTTTTTCATTTATCTACATTGCCATTTTACTGACACTTTTCTATCAAAGTCTTTATGTGAGAAATAATGAGCTATAATGCGAGTCTATGGTTTTGCCTTGACAGACGGACACAGACGTGGTGGTGCTGATCACTGGGGTGCTGGTGCTCATCACCCTGCTCCCCATGATCCCTCAGGCCGGAAAGCAGCACCTCTGGGAGTACTTCGACATCTTTGGACGTCTGGCCTCCTGGAACCTCAAAAACCCTGGTGAGGAACTCAAGCTCATTGTTAAGACACTGTTTCTGCTCTGGTAATGCCTAATGCCATTTTACTTACGTTTGATTTCACTGCCAAATTTTTGTCCTAGTCCATTTGCAAAGATAGACAAATTCTAGTAAAATGAATTAGGCTGTGCTGATATCTTGAAAGGTTATGGCTTTCACAGTTTGGAAGCAGCTATGGCTGCGTGTGTCTGATACTGGTAACAGGTATTAGTGCTGATATTAAAACATTTGCTGAGTTGGATATCAGCTTCCAAATATTCCACATAATACTGATCTAATATAACTATTTACTGGTTGTAGTGGACCAAGTAACTGTCATCAGGTTTAATTTCTTAATTTATAGAAAGCTGTTCTGTAGTTACATAAGCGATCAATAACAGATGCATTATTTAATTTATGTTTTAAGGATATCAATTCTGCGTTCAGTCGCTGCAATGGTATTGTTTAATATTAGGTATCGGAAGATGCTTAAAGCTGTAGTATTGAAATCAGAACTGAACAAGATGGATTGGTGCATCCTTAGCAGAAGCCGTGTTTAGTAAATTACCCATGTAAATAAGAAAATATAATCTAAATGTTTTAGTACACTATAACTGTCCATGGGTTTCTAAGTGATAGAGAAATACCAGTCTTATAATTGGCCAGGCTGGTGCCACCTAGTGCCTCTGCTCAGTTTCATTTCTCTCCAGTAACTAGGTCAGGAATCAGAATACACTAGGCGGTTTGCAAGAACCCCAGAAGTGCAAGTTCGGGCACGAGCCAGTCAGTGAAGAGCCATACATTCTGTGTTGTCAATGAGAGATCCCAAGATTGAGCATTTAAAGTCAGAATAAAGAGAATGTGTGGTGAATTTCATCAAGGGGAAAGATGTTATTGTCCTTCTTCCTATGGAATTTGAGAAAAGCTTAATGTACCAGTTAGGCCCGTTAGAGGCACATTACATATGTGACGACCAAATAGCAGCGATTGGTTAAATGATAAAAAGTACCCGCCTACTGTCGAGCGAACGAATCTTGCTATGGCAATTAAAAGTAAAATGATTTGCATGGCAATATTCTTCTGTTATATACTAACACAATTCTAAATATTATATCTTTTGAATGGAGAATGGTCCTCACCTCTCCTTCCAATCAAATGAATATGAGAAAATATATATTCCTTTTTTAAATCCCTATTGCTCAGTGATATTTGAATGATGAAAAGTATTCAGAATGTCTCCATAAACCAGAAATTCAACACCATGAATGTGTGAATGATAAGCCATATTATTTAGATGTATGGTATGTAGTGTACAAATGCTCCACTTTTCCAAACAGCCAGTGCTGTAATTCCACATTTATAGATCCAGACACAATAACTGCACTGAAATGTTTTAACAGATTGGAGTCTGTGCTATTTTTTATTCAGTGTACTACTGCAACAGAACAAATAATTGTAGATCCAGAAGATAAAATTTTATAAGGTCATACTTGATGTTTTGATGGTTTGGCCTATTAAAGATTGTGTCATCAATCTTAATAATTGGACAGAGAATGTAAAGCAGATGTAGTCTGAGCTGGAGGAGCTCCCAAGGTCTTTGATTGTGATGTGATTTTCCCTGTCCACTTTCATTATTAGTATAATTTTTATCTGTTTGGTTTTTCTCAGGCCATGTTTCTGAAGTGTACCTGATCCATCTCCATGCCAGCGTCTACTCCCTGTTCCACCGGCTCTATGGCATGTACCCCTGCAACTTTGTGTCCTACCTGCGCTCGCACTACAGTATGAAGGAGAACATGGAGACATTTGAGGAGGTGGTCAAGGTAAAAAGCAATAGGGCTGTAGGCCATTAGCACAGACTGTATAAAGAAGTGGACTATCTGAGTATGACAGTGTTCAGTTCCAGTCACATGAAGGAGGAGCGAGGCTTGCAGTTATAGGAGCTGAGTTCCATATTAGGAATAGGAAGTTATTTATGAACAAAATAGCAAAATAAAAATACCAGGACCATGTAGAGCGGGTTAATATGAGCATTTTAACCCTCGTGCGTCCCTTTAATAATAAAAATAATAATCACACCTGTGACCTTCATAACAAAAAAGTACATCTGAAAAGAATAACACATTATTTTTACACAGTACAGATTTTTGTCCAACTTTTTAATATCATTGTCTTCATTTACTTCTACCCTAATCATACATACCAAATAATTTATCATATTTTAAAATTTTAACCCCTTAATTGCCTTTTTTTTACTGCAAAAGTATTAAATTATGTGCATGAAAAAAATGTAAAATATTAGACTTTTTCTAGATCTTTCAAGTAATTTAAGTTTGTTTGTGTTGGGATTTTCAGAGGCTGGGGGATGTGGTGGATGTGGTTTTGGCACAAAGCCCATTTTTAATAAATAATCACACCTGTTGTCTTTCATGACAAAAATGTACACCGGAAAAGTATACCATATATATTATTTTTATGCAATACAGATTTGTGTTCAATTTTTTTATATCATTATCTTCATTAACTTCTACCCTAATCATGCATACAAAATAATATATAATGTTTTGAAATTTTAACCCCTTAAATGGTTTGTATGTTTTGTATGTGAAAGGAGGGTCACATTTGCATTGTGTAAAACTGAAAATGTAAATATTATGATCATGCTTGAAATGGTAGACCTAAAAATTATAGCATGAAATCTACAAACAGTCAAATGTAAAACACATTTGAACACACTGACAGGAGAAAAACAAGTATCAAGTGAAATAAAATTGCAATTACTCTGCTTTTAAAAATACATTTTCATAGAGACAGATACCTGAAAATGTACACACACACATTGGCACACAAAAACTCACACAAACTATGCACTCTGGGACTCTTCTAGAACACACCCATATCATTTTAACCTCAAATGTCTGTCTCTGGATTTCAGTGTCGACTAATATGTACAAATGTCTTTCTGTTGATATAACCTTGTAATGAAAGATACACAGTAAAAAGAAAAATGTCAAAAAATCCACAAAGATATTAAAACAAAATTTGAAAGCAATTTTGAATGGAAGCCAATGGGATAAAAATGTACCCAAGGACCACGGATGTGAGTATTTTGATTATACAACGTTCAATTAATGTGATCTTAAAAAAAAAACAAAGCACAGAAAATAAAAATACATCACAAACTACCCAAACTGGCCAATATTTATTCTGTTTGGTGCAATATAGCCAAAGTTATGCAAAAACAAAAAGTTGCGATGCACAAAAATGACCCTAAGGATGGGTTAAATTTAAAATGATGAGGCTCACTGCAGCAATTGCAGAGAGAGGAGACAAATTTTCAATGTATGATCTTAAGTCATTCACTCGATTAATTGGTTGATGCTGAGATTTTTAAGTCAACTAATTATTTTATTGTATTTTATTATGAGGATTTACAACCAACTACATCATAGAAGACATTAAAAGGTTTGGCGTGAGTTAGCCTGAGATTTGAGAATTAATTTTGGGTTAAATCTGCCTTTTATAGTATCATATTTTGTTTAGTAGTAGTTATATACTGATACTTTGCAGCTGATGTGATCAACGTTCTCTGGGGAGTGTGAACTGTAACTGTAGGCACTGCTCTATCTGACGCTCTGTTAGACTTTCATCTGAGCTTTATTTCAAAACAATCTGACCAGAAAGAACTGACTTGGGACTAATCAGCTTTCCTGTTGTAGATCAAAATTGTTAAACAAGTTTCTCACACATAAAATTACAGTCACAAGCTACATAGCATTACCCAACAGTGTTCCAGTTAGTTACACTCACCTTTTTCTTTAAAATCAAACTCCTAAACAGGACCATGAACTCTCATAATTATCACACGCTCCTGAAAATGTGCTGTTTAAATCTATCCAGAGTTTTTAGCCAATCTAAACACATTTTTGTTGTCAATATATGTGTTGTGTTTGTGAAAGTCCTGGTTTCTAGTAGTCTCACTGCAGCTTTTGAGGGTTTTGAAAGTTGATTAATTAGTGAAAAGAGCATTTCTTTGGGCGACTACAGCCTTATTTATGTGTTATTATGTCTTTTTCATTTCAGCCAATGCTTGAACATGTTCGTATTCACCCAGAATTAGTGACCGGAACTAAGGACCATGAATTAGATCCGACAAGGTACGGTTTTCACTGGCAAGATATGTGGAGGTCACTATATTCACAAATCAAATTAAATACATGTACAAGTTTTTCTCAAATCAGCACAGATTTAAGTGTGTTTTTTTCTTAATATATTTCCAGCTTTTCTGATAGTAAAAGTAAAGATTTTGGTAGTAAAAATGTTTGGTATCAAAACCTGATAACTAGAATTTAAAGGGCCCATTTACACTGTTTTGTTTCAATTGCACAATTACAACATCCATATTTAGGCTGAGTTCTTCACTGAGATAGAAAATACTATCAACTGTTCTACCTTGTGATGACATGTTGTAATACAGGAAATGTTTCACTGTTTTAGATCCCTGGTTTATTTAGTATCCAACCTGGAGCTCGGGAGCTACCAGTAGCTTTCCATTCCCATCAAAGTAGCTTGCCAAGGATTTCTGAATTATATATATTGTTAATTATATATAACTAAAATGTTATTCATTAAATATATATACTAAATGTATAATTTTGATGCCTAATTTTGTATTCTAATAAATACGTAATGTTTTATGGTTAATAGGTGTCTAACTGTTCTCCATCTAAGGCTCGGGTGGCTCTTATATGTACCATATTTTCTGGACTATAAGTCGCTCCGGAGTATAAGTCGCACCAGCCAAAAAATGCGTAATGAAGAAGAAAAAAAACATATAAGTCGCACTTTTTGGGGGAAATTTATTTTATAAAATCAGAGACCAGGAACCAACATTTCATCTTGAAAAGCAAGTTCTAGTAATAACAATAAAACAGAGAACAACAGACTGTTAACGTCACATATGAACAGTTCTTCAGATAAACTATAGCATAAACAACAGAACAGAACAAGTTTACCAAACTCTCCATTTCACTCCAGATCAGTAAACTCCACTGAATCCACTGAATTCTTCATCCTCATTGTCACTTTTGAGCAACTTCGCTTTGTCCATCCATTCAATGGTTTCGGTGCACCCTCCTGGTTCCTGTGAAGCTGTGTTCTCCATCCCCACTTTCCGTTATTCCCTCACAAGTTTCTCGCAGGGCCACCCAAACCATGAAAAAAAGTGTGACTTATATTCCGAAAAATACGGTACTACATTTCTTGTAAACACTAAAATTAGTAGCTCTCTGGCATTTTTATTTGGTAAAAGTAGCTTACTGGAGAAAAAAGTTTGGAAACACCTGGCATACACCCCCTCTAGAATTTTTACTATTGCTAAATAGGTAAATGGTTACCAGAGTGCAGTGTTTTCTGTTTGTGAGAAGAACTCAGCCCAAGTATGCAGGGTTTGTGTGTTAAACATGTGCATGAAACTAAACACAACTCTAGTATGTTTTTGAATATTATAACCTAAAAAAAAGAGAGAAATCAGAAAATGGCGTAAGTCTTCCAAATACTGTTCCTCTAAAAATCCATTGATTCTGGCCCTGTAAATATACCCACTGAAAAATTCACTCATGTTTTAGAGGGGTGATGGATTGTTTTAAGTTCTCCAAATGTCTGACTAAAGAAATTTCAATTTGATTCCTCCTTTTCACAGGTGGAAAAAGTACGAAATCCATGACATCGTAATTGAATGTGCCAAAGTGTCCCTGGACCCAAAGGAGGCGTCGTGCGAAGAGGGCTACGCCACCATGCCCGAGAACTTCTACCCCCAGGTCCACATCAGGCCTCAGGAGTGCACATCCAGCCCCTACACGGACCTCCACAGCAGCTATGGTCGGCACTCACACACACACATACTCTCCCAGAACAGACTCTTGTGAGCTTTTTGCCATGTTAGAATGTTACTGCATCGAAAACACAAAAACAGACCTGGAATTGTGTTTTGTCTCATTCACACATGTTGTTTGAGGGAAAGGACTGAGCCTAAATCTGCAGTGTTTGTGTGTTAAACACGTGTGAATGAAACAAAACACAACTCCAGGTGATGAGGAAACAACATCATAACACAGATCAGAAACTGGCATAATATGGGCCCTTTAAATATAGAAATGATGAGTCATTGAAGGACAATTTGCCCAAAATAGCAGGGTTAGGGCTGAGTGATTTTCGATGGGTCTGCGATTAATCTTGCAGCCTTAATTTGCCACGTACAATCTGAAAATCTATATATATTTTCTTCCATCGGTGGCACTGGCAGAGCAAAGGATTATTGTTTGTGTTTCTTCTGCTCCTTACAGCTACAACAAAACATTTATTTTACATAGTGTTATTTGCAGACTTTATACCAATCCATATTATAAAAGTACACAATAATATCAAGGGATTTTTTAGTATTAAATATTACACCAAATCTTGTTAGAGTTTTAATGCTGTGTCATGTCTGTGCTGCAGAATGTTGAATCACTCGTTGTCTCACATTGACTCTCTTTGCAATACAGACATCTTCAGCTTTGCATTTAAAACACTACTTTGCTTTGGCAGGTTATTACTGATTAATAAAAAGGTCATTTTAAAGTACACTTCCAGTCAAAGCTTTGGACACACTTTGTTTCTATATTTTTATGACTGTTTACATTGTAGATTCTCACTGAAGGCATCAAAACTATGAATGAACATGTATGAAATGTAGTAAGCAAAAAACAAACTCAAAATACCTCAATCCTGATTTTAGATGTAGATTTTTTTCCTTTTATCGCTGCTTTTGACTGATGAGACACATGTCAAGTGAAAACCATTTTAGGGCACTTCATTATGAAGCTTATTGAGAAATAAAAAAAGTTGAGCTGTTAAATTACTTTTTCCTTTACTACACAATTCCATATATCTTTATCTATCTGTCTGTCTGTCTCTCTCTTTCTCTGTGTCTGTCTCTCTCTCTTTCATTCTGACTCTCTGTATGTCTGTCTCTCTCTCTCTGTCTGACTTTTTCTGTTCTCTCTCTTTCTGTCTCTCTATCTGTCTCTCTTTTTCTGTCTCTCTCTGTCTGTCTGTCGCTCTCTCTCTGTCTGTCTCTCTGTCTGTCTCTTTTTGTCTTTCTCTCTCTTTCTGTCTCTCTCTCTTTTTCTTTCTGTCTCTCTCTGCCTTTCTCTCTGTCTCTCTCTCTCTCTCTCTCTGTCTGCCTCTCTTTCTGTCTCTCTTTCTGTCTCTTTCGCTGTCTTTCTCTCTGTCTCTCTTTTTGTCTCTTTCTCTCGCTGTCGCTCTCTCTTGCTCTCTCTGTCTTAGTTTCTCTCTCTCACTCGGTCTCGCTGTATCTCTCTGTCTCTCTTTTTTTCTCTTTCTTTTTCTTCCTTCCTTCCTTTCTTCCCTCCCTATGTTTCTAAAATGTAGAATGTGATAAACACAAAGAAAGAATTTTTGCCTGGTAGTGAACACATTTCTACACTTGAGTTGGAGATGACTTTGGGTCATCTCTGTCATTCAGATTTCACTGTATGTGAAGATGTCTGCAGGTTGAAGTTCTCAAACTGGACGACTACTACATGTTTTTACATTTCTTGTCTTGCATTGCCCTTGTATTTCCCAAATCATTTCTGCACGGCCTAAAGGACACCTAACAGGTTGTGGAATGTGTGTATATGTGTGTGTGTATGTGTTTAAAGATTGATACCACTGTTTGTCTTGTTGACAACAGGGAGCTCCTCTTCGACCCCGTTCTCCACGCCACGGCAGCCCCCGCCCCTGTCCTTGCCCCCCTTCTCAGGGACACTCTCCTCCTACCGCAGCCCGCAAACCTCCAGACGCCAGGTAAGAGCATCCATAACACCCTCAAGGCCTGTCAGGAGGCTGCCTCTGTGGCACCGCATTTGGCTGTAAATGATGATGGAGGTGAGAGCAGGGCTTAAGCCTGTGTTTGCCTCTCACTACGCTTGTTTACTTCACATAGATCATCTGTCACTTGTTCACAGAGCATAGCTTTTTTCTGGAATAAAACTCTTCCTCTGTCTTAAAGTCATCGGGGCCTACACTTTGGCCCCTGTTTCCCTCCTCTGGGACGGTTGCTGTGGAGATGACTGTTATTGGGTCAGCCACATGGGGCGGGTGGAGGGCTCTGGCTGCTTTTGTGGCCCCTAAGGTCTGTCTGAAGAGGCACAGACAAGTATGTATTTTGATACTGGAGTTGTTTTTGTAGGATTAAGTATTGATGGGTGATATCTCCCAGTATTGGCTGATATCAATACCACAAGTATTTTTGGTGCTGCCCCATTCTCTATGAGCCCTTTTTGAGCAGATTAATGAGTCTAAATGAGAATGGAACAGTAGATGGCTGAATGTTGACACAAACGTGTAGCAAATTATTTTATATCTCAAATATGAAAAGTTCATGTGTAAACATCGGATATAGGCTCAAAAAAATCCATATCAGCCCATCCCCAGAATCCCTAAGACTGTTTTGTTTTTGAAATGATGATTAGTGAGCCCCAGCAGTGGCAGAATGCCGCTGCTAGTTATCTGAAACCACATCATAAAGCTCTGTAAGCATGCCGCATGTGGTGGTGGGAGCCTGGGACTGCTGTGCTGTTTTTAGACTCTTATTGTTGCTGACCCCATGTTCTAAACTAAATCAGACTTATGCAACAGACTAATGGAATTACAACTACATTTGTTATCACACAAATAGGATCAAGTTATTACTCAGACAATGGTGCCTTCTTTTTCTCTGTAGTGTGAGGAAAATGATGTTCTCTGAATACATGTTCTTTATCCAATTTTCAAAACGGCACTAGAGGAGGGCAGTATATCATTGACAAGATAAGTGTTTTTGAAGTTATGCAAAAATGGGATATTGTTTATATTGTCTGTTACTAAAATGCTACAAAGAGTGCAAAGGACGAAGGTTTCTTTCAAACATTCTTGAATCATTCAAAACAAAATCTGTAACTTGTTATTTTTTTTCTCAGGTTTATAGAGTTTAGTGAAATACTTGTTCATTCTGCAGTTTTTTTTAACATTGCTGAATCATGTGTTTTCTCTGGTCTGTTACCCTGAGTTAGAAAATATTGGAAATAGTGGACATGTTCTGGACAAGACTAGACAGTTTTGTAAGGCAATGGAAAACTAAAATATTCATATTTGTCATGTCACTTAAACTGCCTTCCTCCTCTGTACGTGTGCTTTATCTCTGCTTTGTGCTCGTTTGCTTGTTGCAGAACTCGGCTGGTGAGCTGAACTCTTCCTGTAGTGGGAAGGACCCTCTGTGGAGCCCCTCCTCCATGTGCGGGATGGCCACGCCCCCATCGTCCAGAGGCATGTCGCCCAATCTGGAGCTGTCACATAGCTCCTCCCACCTGCCTAGCCGCTTCCACTGCACATCAGGTACTCCACTCGAAGAAGACATACAAATATCAAATAATACATGGCCTATGTTACTTATATTGAGTAAAAAAGAAATTTAGTTAACTGGACAAAAGTTGAGGCGGGAGAAGTTAACTACAGTGAAACTAACACACCCTAGTTGTTTACACTGAGGACTTATTAGTTCACACCTGATGGTATCTGAATGGACAGAGTAATATTTTGCATGATTGTTCAAGCCCCTAATGGGTGAGTTAGTTCCAGTGTAGTTGGCTCCTCCCATCAAACCCATAGAAGGCAGTGACTTGCAGAACCCTGTCAGAACTCCTGGAGCGACCAAATGTATTCACTCTCAAACAATTTTTGTCCAGTTGACAGAATTTTATTTTCTTTAGTGATGGAACCTACCTGGATGACTCAGGGATTACACAGACATGGAGTAGTCGTAGTAGTTGGAGTATGAGTCATTGCAGTATTAGCAGTAGTAGGTGTTTGTGTTGTAGTAAAGTAGTAGATCAGTGGATTGCTATCATCATATCATGTCATATTCACTATGACTTGTGTAGTAAACAAAGCGTGTACGTGTGATTCCAGGAGGGAAGGGCACCCCAGCCTCCAGCACTCCGGCCACCTCTTCTCCCCCTCCCACCCTGTCAGACGACTTCCCCATAATCTCCTTACCCGCCAACACGGTCCAGTCCAGTCCACCCAGGAAGGTGAGCATGGGATACTTCACGAGCTAAGAAATAACATGAATGAAAACAAATCTGTGACTTTACATTTGTACGATAGATCCTATTGAATTTATAATTAGGATTCATATAAACAGTGAAAATACCTCATAAACATGACTGACAAAGGTGTGTTTTTTTCCACTAACTGCTGTATTCCAATTCTACCATTATCTTTTTGGATTCAGAGTAAACTTTAGTTTCAAAACGTTTTTCCAATGAGAATGCAACTTCCTTGAAGGTTTCTGGGGCTGCACAATTTGTCAACAAATGCAGCCACTTATACTTGTCATGTTTGGGCTGTTAACTGCGAGCCATCCTCAAGACTGTCCCCGGTCTTGGTGGTGACGTGTTACACATCAGCTGTTGTTACTCTTGAAGCGTGGTCAGCCTAATGTCTAGCCTGATGTTCTGGCAGGAAGCTCAGTCTGAACACCCTCCCACTGCTCCGTTCTCCTTGAAGAAGGGGAACACTTGTGAACATGGTTCAGAGCTAGCAGCTACTGAAACTTGTCAGGTTAAATACATCTCACTAACAGCTGTATGCCCAAAACAAGATGAATGTGAGTAAAATAACAAATGCAGCCATTGTTTAAAATGCAATTCTTTTGCTTAGATTTTCTTTCAATGTCAGCCATTGTACCAAATTATTTGTGATCTTCAAAATGGGTCTCTTTTTGGCAGTAACCCATGGCTGAAATAATAAAATGTAAGCACTCATATTAAATAGACTCTGTTATGTTATTTTGTGAATTCACAAGAATATTGGGACATTTTGTAGACCTGGATGGAAAGGAGCCCAGAAAGCTCATAATGATTCTCCTTGTCTTGTTTTTAGGATCGAAAACAAGGAGACAACAAACCCGCCCTGGTGCGCCAAGAACAAGTGAAGGATTTAGAGAAGAGTGCAGAGGTCTCCACAAGCCAAGGTTACATTTAGAGGCATTACTGTTACTGCTGTACTATACTTGGTCACTTTACCCTCTGAATTGTGTTTCTTTTTGTCAGAAGTAGGAGCAGAAGAGAATGTCTCCATGACTCTGAATGAGCTGTCGGTCTTTATGAAGAAACAGGAGATGGAGCTTCAGCTTAAACCAGAGAAGGAGAAAGAGGAGGGTGAGGAGCCAGTTTTGTTCAGTACAAATATTGTGGTAATTAGGTGGCATCATGATTTTTTGGTTGCTGTATAAGTAAAGAGGTGAGGACTACAAGAGTGTTTTCTGAAGGTTTAATATAAACATATACAGAGCTCTGGCTCTACTGCCGATATACAATGACAGAGAGAGTGAATCTCATGAAAGGACAGTTTTTATACACTGTGGTGGACAACAGGTGTGGGGCTCATGTCAAACAGAGTGATCAATACACGGTCAAGCAATAACTGCAGTCGTAAAAATGTACTGTGACAACTTAACTTTAGCATCAACAAATGGCCTTGCATTGCTTAACATCATTTTTAGGAAACAGACTTATTCTCATACTCCTCACATGAAGCTTGTTTGTCCTGCAACAAACATAAAAACATGCCATCATTAGGTGTTGTAAAGTGATAATGATGATTTTTTTTTAATTAAATAGGTAAAATATCTGATTAAAAAATGACAAAATCCATAATACAAAATAAAATTAAATCACCATGCTACTCCCTAATTAGTAAGGTGAGCAAATGAGGGAAAAAAATAAAAAGTCCCAACTCACTTAAAGGAACTGTATGTTAGCCCTGCACTCTTACAGTTTTAAGTAGGTGTTACAATCACAACTGAACCTGTGTTGCCAGTGACTTAACCTGCCTCGTGAGAAGCTCAGAACCTTCAGAATTCCCTCCCTGAGCTGCAGAGTTTGCAGACTGGCAAACTAGACTCAGGACTGGCTGCAGGTGCTGGGGTTTAGATAGTGACCATTCAGATCAGAGAGAGACATTTTAGGTTTAACTCAACTGCATTTCAGCATTGAAACTGGCAACGTAAATGAGAAACTCATGTGAGACTTGTTCTGCTTTCTGATTGGAAAATCATCTTAAGGACCAAAATACCAAATTATAATATCAAAACGTGTCCATTGTTTTTGTAATTAATATGTAGCGCCTTTTAAATCTTTAATATTTAGCAATGACTTCATCTCCTAATGGGATGTATTTAGTGTTGAAAGGAACTGCTAGAATTGAAAAATCTCCCAAAAAGTTATTTCTATGTGTGATTTGTTTGAATTATAAATTGCATTAATCAATGAACTATTGCCATGTATGTGTCTATGGAATCTGAGTGTTTGGATTTTAGGATTAATTTATTATTTATTAAGTCAGGTAAAATGTGTGTGTGACCCTTTTTTAATCTATCCTATATTGCAATACCACCATGACACTTCCTTTATATTTCCAGACGTCAGTGTGATTGATCAACTGAAAAATGCATTTACATCCGTTGTTCTCAAACTTTTCACACTAACTACCTAAGAAAGTACTTGACCACCACCAAATCTAAAACAGGATTATGTCAGGACTCTTTTAGGTCTAAATGAGGCCTAAACCAGGTCTTAAATGAGTCTTAAATGAGTCTTAAATGAGTCTTAAATGTGTCTTAAATGTGTCTTAAATGTGTCTTAAATGAGTCTTAAATGAGTCTTAAATGAGTCTTAAATGAGTCTTAAATGAGTCTTAAATGAGTCTTAAATGAGTCTTAAATGTGTCTTAAATGTGTCTTAAATGTGTCTTAAATGTGTCTTAAATGTGTCTTAAATGTGTCTTAAATTACACTCTCGCTAGAAAAGACAGCAGCTCTGAGGTAAAGTCTGGAGACGGAGCTGGAAGTGGCAGCGTTTAAGATCTTTGGCAGTCATCAGAATGGACTGGATTAAGATAAGAATGAGTACTTCAGAGGGCAGCTTATGTTAGATGGTTTGGAAATTAAACCAGAGAGGTCAGGTTGCCATGGAGACGTGGATAGTAAATATATTATCAAAGAGGATATTTTAAGTATGCACTGATAGAATCTGATGTTTCTAAATGCACAGGGGAAAACACAGTATGTAGAGGAGAGGATTAGATGAAGACTTTTTCGTACACATATTGTGATTACTATAAAATGCTTTTATTTTTGTGTTTCTGTTTCTGTTCAAATTCACTGGCTAACTAAACATGGACATGCTTTTAGAAATTGTCTGTAGAGATGTACACAACACCAGGTTCTGTAGTTAAACTAAATTAAAGGCCCTGTACATGAAATTGTGTCTGACCCCATTACAGATGTATTGCATAAGCAGCTCTTGAGTTCAGAATATGTTAACTGTGTCCTGTTTGCAACCAATCATCATCTAAGCATTTAAAGTTTTAATGTATATAATATGGAAGTCCACATTAGCATGCTACTTGATGGCAAAGCTTTGCCCTGGCCTCTGAAAGTTGTGAAAAATGCTTATAAACTGGTGAATGATTAAGATTCTCAAAATGCATAAGGTATGTGAGGAATAACTTCAGACCACAGCAAACTGTTTTAAAGTTCTGTTTTTCACAGTTTTAAAAGTGCTAAAATTAGATACAGTTTAAGATAGGGCATCAATTGTTCAATCCTTGCAAAAAATGTTGAATAAATGAACTATTTTGCCTTTAGCTGCCATCACCGAAGAGCTCCGGAAGCTGACGGAGGACAAGCAGGAGCCGCTGGGCATGAGGGGCTTCGACTCTCCGTTCTACCACACCACTGAGACTCTGACGGGCTGCCAGGACAAAACCCTCTCCAACACCCAGGCGGGGGTCTCCGGCCGCGACCCCCACCTCTCCAACTCCACCCCAGACAAGCTTGACGTCGGTAAGGATGGAACCATATCACTTTTAGATTTATTCTTGACTTAGACCCTTTGGCCAAACAGCAGTGACACCCTTAAAATGCATACGACAGATTTTTATGTTTTTCAAATTCTGACTTGTTTTGGTGGGATAGTATCTGTAGTAAATATTTATCAGAATTTTAAACCAGTTAAGTGGCAGTTGTGAAAGAAAATTGAGAAGATGAATAAAAAAATACAGGAAAATCTACTGACCAACTGATCAACACAGAAAATTTCAGCCAAAAAGCAGAGACATTTATACACAAGTATGACATTTTTATGCCAGTTTAAACCTTCATTTGACAAGGTTTTGTCATCGATTATTATTTATCTAATCATAACTATTGTGTGATTTAGTTTTGGCCCATGTTTACAGTATATTTGCTAGGTAACAGAAGTGAAATTACCTTTACGTATGTCATATCTGCTGCCTGTGTCCAACTAGGAAGTAAAACTATAAACGTCATCAAAATCAGAAAACTGCGTAAAACTAGGCAAGATTTTTAGTAAAATCTTAAATATAATGATGTGAATTATTGTATTTTTGAGATTATGAATCACTGTGGAGTATAAGTCGCACCAGCCAAACAATGTGTAACAAAAAAGAAAAAAAAACATATTTAAGTCGCGCATTTTGAGGAAAATTAATTTTATAAAATCAAAGACCAGGAACCGACATTTCATCAAAGGCAAGTTATAGTAATAACAATAGAATAGAGAACAGCAGGCTGAGTAACGTCACATATGAACAGTTCTTCAGATATCTATAACATAAACAACAGCAAACTCTCCATCTCACTCCAAATCACTAAATCCATTGAATTCTTCATCCTCGGTGTCACTTCTGAGCAACTCGGCCCCGACCTTCGGAGGTAAACGGAGCGCTGCTTCCTCTTCTGTGTCGCTGTCGTCAGACTCTGCATCAGTTCAGTTAGAATTATTCGGGCCTTTCTGAATCCCGACAGGATGGTTTCTGTGTCACTGAAGTCCAGACTTTGTCCATCCATCCAGTGACTTCAAGGAAAGTTACATGGCGCACCCGCCCGGTTAACGTAGCTGTGTTCTCTATCCCCACTTTCTGCCAGTCCCTCACAAGCTCACTCCAAACTTTCTTTCTGCTGCTCGATTACCGTTTTTGGCTGCATATTTCACTAATTGCAGCAGTGCAGCGGCTTTTTCTGCAGGAGACATGCACAGTAGAGGGTGAAGTGACAGTGGTACAGGAATAATAGGAGCAGCAGATACTGGAACACAAGACTAGAGCCTCTCACAGCTGTCATTGTGAACCTTTTTAAATATATAAATTGCACCGGAGTATAAATTGCAGGAAACACCCAAACCATGAAAAAAGTGAAACTTATAGTCCGAAAAATACTGTATGTACTTTAACCTGTCATATGCACTTTAAATGTTTTTGTTTCTGGAATAATGCCTGAATATATCTGTGGCTGAAATAAACAAATCAGTTCTGAGACCTGAATAATCCTGATTATCCATTTACCAAATAATCCTGCCATCCCCAGACGGCACTGTGATGAACTCTGCCCCCGAGAGCCGACCCCCGAACCTGGATCAGTCGTGGCCCTTTCAGTCCGGCTTCACCCCCATCCAGCATCACCTCCACCGCAGCCCCTCCGCCCCCGACGACGCCACCAAGTACGGCATGTTCTCCCCCAGCCCGTGCAGCAAGACCCCGCCCGCCCCCGTCCCATACGAGTCCTTCTTCGACCTGGCCCTGCCCCGCGCCGCCTCGCTGTTCGTGGGCAAGAAGACGTCCGAGGCGGTGCACAAGGCGGCCATCGAGAGGGTGCTGCAGAGGGAGGAGGGGCTGGAGGACGGGGACGAGGAGGGGGTCATGTCCGCCTCGCCCCTGGAGGTGTTGGACCGACTGGTGCAGCAGGGAAGCGACGCTCACGATAAAGTGCTGAAGAGGTCAGTCGAGATTGTTAAAACATAATCGTTTCCATTTGTATTACTAACAACAACTTCAGTACAACCATAGACTGTATATTTAAATGGATATTTATATTTAGGGGCTGTGTTCCAAATAGTTCCTTTGGGCTCTGGTTACTGACTTGTATTGAAAAAAACATCGCTCTCTCTGTGTAACTGCTGCTGTAGTGAGGAAATTATGGTGCTTCAGAAACTGCAGCCTTTTGCAGCCACACAGCCATACTACCTGATTGTCTCACTGGAAATAAAAAAGAAAAGAAAAGCAATAATGTGGAAACAAGCATGTGGCAGACCCTCCACTAGAAAAGTCAGATATAGTTAGCATTTTAAATAAGACATTTTTAAACATCAAAATGGATAATTTTAAAGGAGACTGCTCACAATCATCATTTAAACAGTAAAGGCATTATAACGGGACTGTAAATTACTTGCCTATCTATGTCCCCAGATAAAATCCTTCAATAATAATTTATGTCAATATTAATTTTAGAAAAAAATATATACATTTTTGTCACTACAGCTCTAGAAAAAAATAGGAGACCACTGCATTTTTTTTTTTCTGAAATGAAGTGCACAGCAAGAACGGTCCGAAACAGGCTCCTAAGTCGTGTAAAGCTAGAAAAAATCCTTTCATCAGTGAGAAGCAAAGAAGAGCCAGGCTGAGGTTTGCAAAAGACCATAAGGATTGGACCATCGAAGACTGGAGTAAGGTCAGCTTCATCTTGGTGGAGAGCATGCCAAGGTGCATGAAAGCTCTGTGTTATTTTGACCATTTTTCATTTTCTACAAATAAATGCTCTAAATGACAATATTTTTATTTGGAATTTGGGAGAAATGTGGTCAGGAGTTTATAGAATGGAACAAAAATTTTCGTTTTTTTCAAACCATACCTATAAGTAGTAAAATCAGAGAAACTGATTATTTTGCAGTGGTCTCTTGTTTTTTTTCAGAGTTGTATTTAAAAACAATGTTTATTTTGCAGATAAAGTGACATTTAGTTGTGATTCATGTCACAAACATGTCAAACTCGGGCTCGGGTTCCAAATTTGCGATATAATTATATTTGACCCGTGAGATCATATCACATATGTATTAAAGCTGCCCGCTGGCTACAACTAGGATATAGAGACATTATGTATTTAAAATTGTTATTATTTTATATTCTACTTGTTCTGGATTCAATGTTTAAGCAAAACTATTATTAAACATTTATTTGAATAAGAAAAGGTTTAACATTACATATCTCGAAAGAAGAGAAAACATGCAGATGTTGTTGATATTTTTCAATAAATATTTAGTTTTCATTTAATTTTTAGTTTTATTATCATTATTATTATTATTTATTTATTTACTTTTTTTTGTCAAATTTAACTTAACCTGCTTGAACCTTCATAGCTGTTCTCCAACCATTTAAACTGCTGTCTCTCTCCACAGATTACCTTTGCCAAGTAAGTCAGCTGACTGGACACACTTTGGAGGTAACGCTCTTCTTTTCGCTCGCTCCCACACAAAAGTGTATTTGAGCTTGAGCGGCCATATTTGTCACATGACTCTCACAGCGGCTGAGCCCGGGGCTGAACACAGAGTCTGTCTGTATGTGTGTGTTTACCTCAGAGTGGAGCGCCAATCACATTTTCTGCACCAGCTGTCTGTGTCACTGCTCTCTGCCCGCGCTGTAATGACGACCTGATCGAATTAGCCTGTTTACTGATACGAGTCATGGTGTTTGGATTCAGACTTGTAGTTCATGTTGTAGCTTTTGGAATGAGGAAGAGGGAAACTGATGGACGCTACTGTTGGGGCAAGTTACTTCAAAACTGTAATGCGTTATTTATGACTTGTTACTGTCATTTGAAAGTAATTTGTTACAATATTACTGCATTTAAAATGTAAGGCATTACATGACTTATTGCATTACAAGTGACTCTCACCAAAATGACTGTGAGGACTTTTGCGCTGTATGTGGACTGAGCCAGGACTAAACCAGGACTAAACCAGGACTAAACCAGGACTAAGCCACTTTTAAACCAAACCAGGACCAAAACACGACTAGGACTTGGAATCTAGCATCGCCCCTGAGAGAACCTGAGCCTGTGGAGCAGGGTGTGCGCACAGTGTGACTGGGTATCAGCTGCGATTAGTCCCATGGAGTGCGGAGTTCTGCACCGGTCCTTTCGCCCGCGATCACCCGACGGTCTACACAGGTGCACCTCCGGGCCTGTCCCGATATTCAGCACATTAACGATGGAGTTTCACCGCTGCTGATGTCGCGATGATTTTAGCAAATTTGTATGAAGAAAAACTAAAAATCCACCACTTCAATTCAGGGTAAAAATGCATTGCAATGCACATTACTGACATTTGTTACATTACTGTGTTACAGCAAAAAGCAATGCATTACAGTAATTTGTTACTTTTATAATGTGTTACTCCCAACGCTGATGGACGTATATTGGCCAAAACAGTTGTCTGAGCAGCCAGTCCCTCATACATTCTGTTCGAATCCAGAAGGGACTGGAACTGGACAATAGACAGTGAAAATCCTCTTCTTGTATCATTCAGAACACAATAGATAATAATAGTTTGGTGCTTCGATTGTTGATTCTGCAAAAATCAGCGCTGTTTCTCAGTCTGTTTACTAGAATCTGGTACAAGCATTTTTGTCTCAGGCATTATCTAACTGTACATTGTCTCAGTGAATAAATGAAAGAAAATTTACTCTAAAATTAAATATTCACTTTCGGGTCAGTTAGGAACACTGAAAAAAAAAAAAAAAAAAAAAAAAAAAACGCAGCTTTGAAGCTCCCAAAATGATGATGTCTGAGATCGCGATTTTTGGTCCAAACGACAGATCATTCAGCCCTCATTAGAATCATTCTAACTAAGTCTTGGTCATGGTCAAAACATGTTGGCTTTGACCATTAAATAAAGGCCATTTAACTGTACGTTTGCTCGTGCAGCTTTTACTTTTTTAGAGTGCCTAGATTTCGTTTTGTCTAAAGTGAATTTATTCTGAGTGAGTGTTTACCTCAAGCATAGTGAATACTCTATAAGTAGTTTTCTGGTGATCCTGTCCCCATGTTAACTGTGGTCTGATGTGTGCTCCCAGGATCGGCCCCACTGGACGAGTTGCACACTCTGCGCAGTCAGCTCCTCCTGCTCCACAACCAGCTGCTGTACGAGCGCTACAAGAGAGAGCAGCACGCCGTCCGCAACCGCCGCCTGCTCCGGAGGATCATCAACGCCACTGCCCTGGAGGAGCAGAACAACGCTATGGTAACCACCAGGGACACGTGTGCTCTCGATGGACAAGATTACAACTGCAGTGTAGAGTTTAGAATCTCAAAAGAGCGTACAGTGTTAATTAGATTTTTTTGTTGTCTTTTTTGACACTCTTACTTACACTCGGTACTCTTTAAGTTTATTTATTGTTTATATTCTTTACGAGTAGATGGTAGATGTGACATTTCTCCCCTCTCCCCTCACCTGGCCTTTGTTCAAGCTCGTCTTTGCTCTCTGGTTTTCTTCAGGCTAAAACTGGCACACTGTCAACAAGACATAGTAATATTAATACATGACAACATGGTAAGCCGAATTCAAATGTCAAATTACAGATGGTAGCTTCAAAACCCCAAAAAAATCCCCCCCCTCAAAAAAAACAAAAAACAAAACAAACTGCTCTACTCAGTCATTTAGGCTCTTTTTCTGAAATAAGTTTTGGAACCACACTAATTTTACACTCCACAAAACATCTTTTCATCACTGTCAATATGCAGTGCTTTTATCTAATTGCATATGTATATCATATTTTATTTTATTTTTTATCTATTTTGTAGCCGTAACTAATATTATGTGCGTGCTCCTATGCCTTATCTGTCTCCTCTCAGTAAAACTTGTGTGAAAATCACTAAGAATTGCGCACAGAAGCATCCACTGTTCAGTGAAGCGCGAGCATCTGTGAGAAAGCAGCTGTGGAGTCATCTGTGCCTCCTCTGCTCACTGCTACAGACAAATGAATGAAGCGCAGGCATTCTGTTTGGAGCTCAACTAATCAAACAGCCTCCAGCACGGAAACGTACAGAACATCTTACTGGCTATTGAGACAGGCATCAGCGGGAGTAATGAGTTTATCTGAAATATTTTGGAAATATTTGTGGAAAAGCACATGGAAGTGCTCGTGTGTGTGTGCGTGTACGTGTGTGTGGCTGGCTGAGTTTTTGAATGTCATTTGAAGTTAACCAAGTTAACCAATCAGAGGAACTGTGACTTGCCAGGCTTCATTTTCACAGACTTTATAGAAAGTTCCAAATTTAGTATTATGAAAAAATATACATATATTGCAGTGGATCACTTCGTTTTACTTGCATTACTCCAAAAATAAAAGATTACACACATTTTCTGACATCTCACAACATTAGTATGGCAATATGTCATCAAATGTAATCAGTCTTGCATTTATCCAATTACAGGTCTTTCCTCTTTATAAATCTGACCTATAACTTAGTCTAGAGATGTCATCTAATTGGATCATTTTACGGTTGTACTCATGCCCAGGTGCAGACCAAAGTGACTGAGGGTGTCATTTTTGTCTAAAGTGTCATTTCAGGTGCCTAAAATGAGGGTGTAAACATTTTTAACTGGGGTTATTGCACCTTGTACACCCCTGTAGACTCGGGACTGATCATACAGTGTAACATTCCAGTCAAAGCAATAACATCTCCATGGAGACACATATGTATGTGTGCCTATGGCATAATAAGTGTTGGCAGAAAGTTTCAGTTTGGGTATCAGAATGAAGAAAAAAAAAAAAAACTGGATCAGTGCATCTCTAATATTCACTGTACATTTTATTGTTTGCCGCATATGAACTGAAATAACAGAAGAAACGAAAAAGGTTCACAAGAAATTGTAAACCTTTTTTGTCTCTTCTGTTATTTCAGTGCCACTTCTGCCCTTTCAGATTCTCAGCCTTCTCATGTTCCTTATGTCTTCCTGAAATCTAAGCCTGTTCTGTGCCCTCTTTCTGTGTGTGTGTGTGTGCACGCGAGCAGAAAGACCAGCTGAACCTGCAGAGCGTCGACATCTCCTCCCTCAGAGAGAGCCTCCACGTGGAGCAGCAGAGGTACACGCAGCTGTGGGACGACCGTGAGAAGGTGGTGACCCAGCTCCATAGCCAGATCCGACAGCTCCAGCAGGGCCGTGACGACTACTACACCAAGAACCAGGAGCTCCAGGTAGGCTCAGGAGTCGATGAGGGGTTTGTCCAGGCAGTCGCTCTACATGCACGTCCAGTGTCTGTATTCTTTGGTCAAACATTACACAAGAGCGCATCAGGATGAATATATTGTTTATTAATTGGAATAATCATGACGAGTCGACTATTGAAAATTTTCATCAAAGTTTGATCATCGTTACAGACTTGAGAACACATGTCAAAAGACCTTTTATATAAGACATCAGCATTATTTATTATTAGTTGACTTCTAAAATGAGTTAGTTGCAGCTCTAATATGTTGTTGTCTAAGTATTATAAATTGTTCTGTTAAGTCTAATGAATAGTGTTTTGTATATTGTTTGTCTCAGTGGCATTGAAGGATGGGTCAAATACAGAGGACAAATTTCTCTGTAGCCACAATAAAGTGTAAGATGAATTCTCACGATGTTTGTGAGTCCACAAACTCAATCTCAATCTTGGCATGTGCCCACTGTTCAGTTAATTGGGTGGGCGGACCAATGGCAGAGCAGCACTGAGGTTTGTGTGAAAGCCAAAGCAAATTCCACAAATAAACCAAAACAAACATGGCGACGCCAGCAGACATACTTCAGCGTATTTTAGCGTCAATACTACAGGACTGTTGAGTTTGTGAAAAACATGCAGAAGGTAAGAGCTTTGTGCATTTGTGGACAGAGAAGATGTCTGTGCTTTTCTCTCAAATGGATTTAACTGAAGTATATAGTGTGCCTTATCCTTAATCTGTACAACATATTTTGAAATAAAGCTGTGAATATACTGGTTGTGTCTGTGTCCAGAGCAAACTTCAGGAATGTCAGAAAAGGATGGACGAGCTGGAGGCAGAGCTTCAGACATCCAATAACAAAGTCTGTCACACTGGGCACCTCCTCAACCAAATGACCATCAAGGTACGGGCCACTATCTCTGCTCTCACTCGCATAATACACATTTTATTTGAACAAAATAAAAAAACCTGTGGTAAAACTCAGTACATGTTTAGTTTATATTCATTTTAAGAGTTTCCTTATCTAAAACATACCAGGAGTTTGTGTTTAGTTGTAACCCTGATTCACACACGCATTTAAAGGGCCCATCTCATGCAAAATAACTCTTTTCACATTGTATCTTCTACACATAAACAAGCACTATTTGGGTTTTGAAACGTCCATTACACAGTAGTTATGAAATCTTACTGATTTCTTGGATTCAGTCACAGACCAGGAACTATGAAAGGCCGACTATTGCTCATCCCCCCGCCCGTCCTGAGAAAGCACAGGCTCCATCCTCCAAACGTGACGTAGGATCTGAGTGAGGCGCCCTTCCTCCGCCCATCTCAGGGAGGGAGGGGGAGACAGGCGTTAGCAGATAGACAGGCTGATAGCGGTAGGAATAAACTTTTATTCATCATGGCGATACAGCGCGTTCAGCCGCATGTGCTGGACCCGGAATCGGACAAGGACTTTGAGGTGCACGAAGCGCAAGCACCGCGTCTGCATCATTGGTAAAGTATTAATAAACGCTAGTAGATAAACTTATTATATCATGTACGGTGGAGTGGGGGAGGGGGTTGGGTGCGAAGTGCTTTCTGCTACATCAAACGCGTCATAGGTGTAGCTGCCACGTTATCGTTGTAGCAGCTTTAGTTCGTTGTCATGTGGGAGGGTGGCAGAAATCAATCTAAAAACCACTTCAGCGACATATACAAGGCCCACACATCACTCTGAGAAGGTAAAAAGCTCTGAAAAGTTGATTTTGCATGAGATGGGCCTTTTAACACACAAACCCTGCATATTTATTTGGAGTTCTTCTCTCAAACAAACAACACTCCACCTTGTGATGCCATGTTGTAATACAGGAGGTAGTCCACTGTGTTTTTAAACTCTACATACCTTCACTTGAATCATCACTGTAATTGTCAATCTCTACTGAACTAAAGATAAAAGGTGGCTGTCAACTTGAAAATTACAGCTTCATGACATGTTGGGACAGAGCATTTTGAGCCTAATGATCCTGGATTACTCAAACATGTATGAATGAAACAAAACACAACTCCGAGTACGTTTGTGATGAAGTAACAACATTATAACTTGGCTAAAATCTCACAAGAGTCAATTCGGTGTACCTTTAAAACTAAAATAAGGCATCATTAGCGTTAGATATGTGGTCCTATTTATAACTTTAGACGTTGCCAGCGCTCTGTGATTAGTTGTCAGCACTGGCCTCTTGCAGATACCACTATGCGAACTGTAGACAGGCCAGGGGCTGGTTGCCATGGTGATGGTGTCTCTATTTTTGGGTCAGCGGGACAGGGGGTCTGGGTGTTGTGGTGCGTCCTGGGGCTTGTCTGGCCTTTCTCGCCTCAGCTGACCCAGACTGAGCAGTAAATCCTGGAAAACAACGGGCTGCTTAAGTCCTCTGTGACACTAGAGTACATTTAAGCTACTACTGTGTATGAAATTACTTCTAAGATCAAATTTAAAGTTCTGTCAAGTCAGGCTGTACAGTTAATCAAAGCATTGTATTTAAAACGGGGGTGTTGAAATTATATTTCTTGACACATAACATGTATGTGTAATGCTATATTTGCGCAAAACAACATACCGTATTTTCTGCACTATAGGGGGCTCTGGATTATAAGGTGCACTGTCATTGAATGGTCTTTTTTTTTACTTTTTTCACATATAAACCACACCGGACTATAAGCCGCATTAAACGAAACACAACAGTTAGATAAGTCAGTCAAACTTTATTTAACACGTTCACAATAACTCTCAACTTTGTTCAATTGTAATGCATAAATTGTTAGTGTATTGACTGTAATTCATAATTGTTCAAACAGTTGGGTGATTCCGGCGTCCAGCACATCCTCATCCCTCTCGTCATTATCCGAGTCAGTGTGGTTACTGTTCCCTGGCAGTTCAGTGATGATTCTGGTCTTGGTGAAAGCTCGGACCACAGTTGATACTGATCTTTAGTCCAGGCGTCCACGATCCATTGGCAGATCGTGGCGTAAGTCGCTCGGCGCTGTCTCCCTGTCTTGGTGAATGTGTGTTCTCCTTCTCTCACCCATTGCTCCCACGCAGCTCACACTTTCACTTTATAACAGGTTTGAGTTTAAAGTGGGCGTTGTAAGCGTGTCTCTTGACAGGTGCATTTTGATATTAAAAAGAATCACAGTACGGAGCCATAATGGTGCAAGTGGAGCGGCTTTGTAGTTTACTAAAGTCGTACTAAGACACCCCAATAAATTCATATATAAGGCACTCTGGATTATAAAGCGCGCAGTCGTTTTTTGATGAAATTAAAGGCTTTTAAGTGCACCCTATAGTGCGGAAAATACGGTATTAAAATGTTTCTGTTTCATTTATGATGCATTTGAGTTCTTCCTCTCTTTGCTCCTAATGCTAAGTCACTCCCCCATCAGCACTATCAAAAAACAATCAGTGTGCAGGTTTGTGAAGTCGTAATGTATTATTTTATATTCTGCTCTTGTATATTTATGAAAAATGACTGTTGCTTGTACTGCTGACTGAAAGGAGGGCTTGAATAGTGCCCTGGAAAGATCACGAGATTACTAAAACATGGATGGATGACAAATAAAACCTCTTCAGACATGTTTTTGATGAGGGAACAACATTTTAGCATGGTAGAAAGCTCCAAAAAAGACAATTTTGCATAACATAAGTTTAAGTGGAAGCAAGGTAAAAATAATGAGTGAGCATTCCTTTGTAACATAAATTCTTTCAATGTTTTGCCAAAAATTGCTTGATTTTTTTATTTTTTTTTTTATAGAAACAGATTTTTCCCCATTATTAAAAAATCATTCATTTCGTCATTTCCAAATGTGATGGTAAGTTTGAGCTGAAAGTTTTCCTCTAGGTGACTTGTCAGTTAAGCATCCTTTGTCGTCTCCAGCGTGTGATCATTAAGTCTGAAAGCGACGTGTGCCTGCTGTAGTCCCAAATGCTCACGCTCCTTTGGTTTGTCGCCTAATTGCCGCTCTGCCCTCTGTCGTCTTTGTCTGTCTGTGTGTCCTTCAGCTGAGCACCAGTGAGAGCACCCAGCAGCATATGAGCTTCCTGAACAAGCAGCTGCTGCTCCTGGGGGAGGCCCATAAGCTGGCCATGCAGGAGCTCCGGCACGCCGGCCCCGACAACACAAAGGTACGCACACTGATGCACACACACAAGGGGACAACGCTCAGGTATCTACACTAATGTACACACCCGCAAAAGGGGACAACACAAAAGTACGCACACAGGTACATAAACACATTTCTTTCCTATGAACACAAAGGTACGCACACACAAACGGCAGCTCCGACAACACTAAGGCATGCACACACAAAGATGCGCACGCAGGTACTGTATAAAGAAGTGGACTAGCTGAGTGTGACATCACCCATAGTGTTCAGCTTCAGCAGTCAAATGAAGCTCACAAGGCTAGCAGTGACAGGCACGAATTTTGTGCTGATTTCCACATTAGGAATAGGATTTTTTTTTTTTCAGACAAAATAACAAAATAAAAACATTAGAACCATGTAGAATGAGTTAAAAACAAACAAGACCAAAATCACGAAGCTCACTACAGCAGTTACAGAGAGAGGAGCCACAATTTTTCAATGTTAAGTTATTTAGAGTCAGGTGATGGAGCCAGAAGCGCCCCTATGTTCACTTCCTATTTGGAACACTGCTAGTGGGGTAGCTATGTCCATTTATATACAGTCTATAGTACACACACAAGAAATGTGTACATGGATACAAAACACACATCTTTTTTTTTTTTTTTTTTTTTTTTTTTTTTTTTTTTTTTTTTTTTTTTTTTTTTTTTTTTTTTTTTTTTTACAAATAGAGCTATTACTAATTTCAAAATTTCAAGACTCTCAATCTCAGTCTCATATAACATTAAAAAAACACTCTTTAATCATGTGGTCTTATAATAATAGTTTTGATCTTGATCAGGGCCATTCTCAAACTATTATTCAGGAATGGGCTTAGTTCTATTTACGAGATTTTTCAGTACCAATAAACTACTGTGTATATCTAGTTTTGATATTAGTTATAGTATTGATTAATGTCTGGATAGTGTGGTACAATTTTCCACTGGCAAATAACTTTGAGCAGTGTATTGAAAAAGGTCAGAAAAATATAACAATATCCATCAAGTAAAAAAACTTACTATTGTGAATTGTAGTCATTTGAACTTGCCCAGTCCTTTTTTGCAGTGCACACAGGCCCACTGCAGAGGTGAGAACAGCAGCACTTATTGTGTTTGTCCCACATGAGCCTGTCCTGGGCTATAACAGTCTCCTGTCTCTAACATGATCACAGCAGGACACACCTGAGCTGCTTCTGCTCATGTGAGCCAGGCCATATTAGAGCAAGACCATTCGTCTGAAACAGGACACATGATCATGACAAAGACGAGGAGAGGGGTGCTCCCACTTTTACATTCTCATTCTGTGGGGTACAGCCATCAAAATGCCACCTATTTGCTATAAGGGATGTCACACTTTGTGTTGTAAATGACATAATATAAATATTATTCACAAAATAAGACAACATGACCAATCAAAATATTATATTTTTATGCATTTATGGTGCACATCCCACTGCTAAAAACAGTGCACTGAAGGACAATAGGTTAAGTAGGAAACATTGCACTGCTTTGATCTACTAAATCATTTTTAGTAGTGTGCGCGGGTTCCATGGTCTTAGTTGGAGCCCAGTCTAATGAGCGTGCCTGCTTTGGGTGCTCTGATGTTCTCTGATGTGTGCTGTGGTGCAGGAGGCTCAGATGCTGGCAGCGTCCTGTGGCAGAGAGGTGGAGGCGCTGAGGCACAGTCTGCTGCAGCAGGGACAGAAGCTGGAGGCCGCCCAGCAGAGAGTGTCCGAGCTGGAGACGCTGCTCACCAAGAAGGAGCACCTCATCGCAGAACAGAAGAAGTTTTTAGAAGATGTCAAAGGACAAGCAAGGTCAGGCTCGACCTCTTCTTTGAACAGACGGTTATTAGACTGTAGACACGACTTGATGTCAGAATGATCTGAAAGTAGATTATAATGGACTAAAAATGTCAATGTTTTGAAAAAGTCATGTTCCATTATTTACTGATAAATCAAAAGAAATTACATTTTGCAGTTTCTCAATATCCAGTGTTTAGTATGGTCTAAATGTGGCTGTTCTGTGTAACTACAAAACTATTTTTATAAATGAAAATGAAACCATTATCTAGTTTTTGGGCCATCTACGACCAGTTTTATTACATCAATTGTTTATGTTCAACCAGGATATCAGCTGAACCGATATTTGGAAGCCAATATCTTATTCAGCAAATGAATTTGCTGGCATATTTTTACGTTTTAAAGTGATTACTTCTGTGTGTTGATGATGATACAAGTACCATACCATATCGCTCCTCAGCATGTTCTTTGTTCTCATCATGTCCTGTATGCACATCTCTCCAATGTCAAACAAACATCTTTGGTGCTAATTGTTGTTGCTTTTCCTCCTTTTCTGCCTCTGTGTGTTCTCCAGGACTGAGCTGCAGGCCTCAGACAGCAGGTACCAGGCTCAGAGGAGGATCTCTCAGCTTCTTCAGACTGAACTACTGCAGCTGTACAGCCGCGTGGAGATGGACACTCCCACCAGCACCTCCTCCAAAGCAACAGCAGAGGGCAGTGCAGCCAAGCATGCTCCAGCTGACTCCAGGTAAGCGCAACACCGCTGCTAACTCTACTATAATAACTTGTTGGACTTACTTTTTTGGGTTCTCAGAACAGTTTTATATCTCTTATCATATATCACAAGAACTATGTTCCTTTGTAGCAGTCTTTCATTTGAACACTTGGATTATGTATCTTTTGCCTTCCTCCTGGCTGCAGTGAACCTGTGCTAGTATTGGTCAAATATACTGCAGTACATCATAGGTTGTGTGACTGCTTGTCACCCGTTTAGAATACATGCTGAACCCACCTTATATTAGTGAAGGCATCAACAACCTCACCAAATGAATCCTGCATGTAAAAACAACTGTACTCCAGGTCCAGGGCAACTTTATAACATGGTTAAAACCTCAACTTTGTGACTTTCTCTACATGTCAGATCATGACCTCTTGTCTTTTCCAGTGTCTTGGTGCCTGAGAGAGCAGGTCAGAGCCGCGGCCTGGAGAAGACCACTCCCTCACATCCACACGACTCCCCGCGAGGTAACGGCAGCACTTTACCCTGTACCACCATCTCTTCCACTGCCCTGTCCAGCTCCATGAACGGCAGCCAGGATCACACGCTCCACCAGCACCCGCCTCCCCCTCTGCTGGTGGAGCCCTCGTCCCTGCCCTGCCCCCACGGCGACGCCCCGCTCACCGTCGGCTCCTACCCCAGCGCCAAGAGCTTCCTGGGCATGAGGGCCCGCGAGCTCTTCCGCAACAAGAGCGAGAGCCAGTGTGACGACGACCAGAGCCCCCCTCCGCAGCCCCGCCTCTCCGGCCTGGCCCACACCCTCAAGACGGACATGTGCGTGGAGCCATCCCCCTGCTCCGGACAAACCCCCAGACCCAACGCCCCCGCGGCCTCCGTCACTGTGCCCGCTAAAGAGCCCGCCAAAGAGCCCGCGTCGGAGCAGGCCCGGCCCAGAGCGGGGAGCCAGGAGAGCCCGCGGAGGAAGGCGGTGGGGGGGCGTGGACACGGCGGTCGTCCCCGGCAACAGCAGCTAAAGATCATGGACTATAACGAAACGCACCATGAGCACAGTTAAAACGTGATCAGGGGGGTGCTGTTACCTGATCTGGATCCCTACCTGATTTGGATAGATTTTTTGAATTGCCATACTTTTGCACAAGTTGCTACGGTAACACTACTTAGTCCAATGTATTTTTTATTTTATTTTTTTGCGTCTTTCCTATTTCATTTTCACATTTTTTTATGTGGTTAACTTCCAATTGCAGTTATGTTATTTTGAGAGTCATATACTGTTTTTTTTTCATTAAACTTACCAAAATAACAGTCTGCTATGAACTTCTCAATGCTATTGCCGAACGAGAAAATTTTAAACATTTTGAAGATTACAAATTGGGCAGGGATCCAAATCTGGTAATGACGTGAAGAGACTTTCTGGACAAAGATGGCTACAATTGAGCTAAAAGAGTAACGTCAGCAGTTCAGTGTTATATGTATCATTCCTCAAAGTGGACAACAGGATTAAGATTTTCTTTTTTTTTTTTTCTTCTTTTTTTTGTCCAGTTTTACTCATTCATTCCCCCCAAAAGAATGTTATAAAGTATTACCAGTTAAGAAGCTAATGCTAATTTCCGCATCGCAAGAAGTGGCTGGTTTGCTAAAGCTAGCCTAGCGTTAACTTGAAATTCCATGAAGATGACAGAACCTTTTACTATTCTGGAGATATTAACTGTTTTTTTTTTTTGTTTTTTTTTTATCACATTTCATATTACTGGATTAGAATAATATATGCAAAGTAAAAAAATAATAAAATGTGGCCTCATTTTTTAAATTGAAATCCCATTATTATAAACGGACTATTCTAGCAAAAATAATTATCAAAAGTATAAGACAGAAGACTTTTGTTACCTGGACCACTGAGGGATTACACAGATATAAGGTCACATGGTAATATAAAACAAACAACTATGATATAATGTTGAAAATCATGTTGACTATAGAGCTTTTTCACAACAGCCGGAAGTGCCACGCTGTAGGTTTGTAGGAACTTCCGGTTAATGGTTTTCTTTGTCAAAATGTGTTTGTAAATGTCTGGTGTATTCTTCATCAGCTTCATAAATCTGCCCCATCACCAAAGCTTCATCCAACAAGGTCCACAAAGGATAAACATTCGTCCATGAAGAATTTATCCACAACTATCAAAGTAAGAAAGACCAAAACTTAAAGGAGAACAACGATGCATTAGTGACCGAAAACAAAACAAAAGTAACTTGTTAATTCAGACTGATTCAACAGTTAAAGGGCCCATCTCATGCAAAATCAACTTTTCAGAGCTTTCTACCTTCTCAGAGTGATGTGTGGGCCTTGTATATGTCACCAAAGTGTTTTTTAGATTTATTCTGCGTTTTTTTAAACAAATCGTAGCATATTTCTGCCACCCTCCCACATGACATCGAACTAGAGCTGCTACAACGATGACGTGGCAGCTACACCTATGACATGTTGGGCTGACAATTCCCACATGAACACCTAAACAAAAGCGACAGCATAAGCTCATTGTTCTACACTGCAGTGAACACGATATAATAAGTTTATCTAGTGTTTATTTATACTTAACCAATCAGCAGCGCAGTGCACCTCAAAGTCCTCGTCCCATTCTGGGTCCAGCACATGCGGCTGAACGCGCTGTATCTCCATGATGAATAAGTTTATTCCTGCCGCTATCAGGGTGCACACCTGTCTCCCCCTCCCTCCCTGAGATGGGCGGAGGAAGGGTGGCTCACTCAGAGCCTGCATCACGTTTGGAGGGCGGAGCCTGTGCTTTCTCAGGACGGGCGGGGAGATGAACAATAGCCGGCCTTTCATAGTTCCCGGTCTGTGATGCCTCCAAGAAATCAGTAAGATTTCAGAACTATTGTGTAATAGATGTTCCAATGTGAAAAGAGTTATTTTGCATGAGATGGGCCCTTTAAAATAATAATAAAAAATTTAAAAAAAATGATTTCATGATGTTGAGATTAGCATAGATACATAGATTTGTGCAGTCTGAATTCAAGACATCTCTAACATAACTCATAACTCTAATGCTAGTTCTCCTTTAACTTTTCATCTTTCTTCCCTTGATAGTTGTGGATAAATTCTTCATGGACGAATGTTTATCCTTTGTGGACCTTGTTGGTTGAAGATTTGGTGATGGGGCAGATTTATGAAGCTGGTGGAGAATATACGACCAGACATTTCCACACACATTTTGCCACAGAAAACTATTAACGGGAAGTTTCGGAAACTTTACAGCGTGACACTTCCTTCCACTGTGAAAAAGATCTAATGTTTTAAAGAAAGTGTGTTTTTTTTTTATTATCATTGTGGTATCGGCATTGGTATTGAGTATTGAAATTTGAGTTTGAAATTTTAGTATCTTGATAACGCTAAATACTATTTTAATTTCACTTTTCAATTGTTAACAAAATCGACTCATATCTGCCGTGTTGCTATGACAGGCTCAGCATATGCCGCTAACGCTAATCGACAAAACCAGGCAAACTTGAGCTACTTTGCATCTATTTACTCATCACACATGTTGTCATCCCCACACAAGCTTATCTAAACTGTATAAGCCTTTCTTTTAAACGCTGTATTTGCCTGAACAGAATTACCTCCAATTTGAAAAACACCAACCTGGATCTCGCCGGATTTATTTATTTAGATTTAGCGCTAGGCTAGCAGACGGTAAGATTTCCGCTTTCCTCTCCAATAACAAAAGACACAGCCAGGTCCACCAGTGAATCGTTTCAAACCTGACAATTCTGGCAAACTGCTGTGTTGATGATTTGGAAACAGGTTGTCCGCTGCATTCCTACGGAAACGCGATTCTCGGCCATCGCAAATACACAAACAACTTGAAGCAGCTTGTCCAATGTTTGCTGTCATTTCTTAGAATCCACTTGGACAAATGCAGATTATTTGTCTTTTAAAATGATAGTTTATGTAAAAGCACTTTGGGTTCATTTCTTGGTCTTAAACATTCCACATTTTTTTGATTTGGAGTCGCTGCTAATATATATAGTTAAACTTTTAAAGGCGGACTATGTAAATTATTATTGCACTGACTAGAATGTCTGGTAATCACCTGCTTGTCTACATGGAGGTGAAGGGCTGCAACGAAAGGCTCGATAATCAAGCTTACGTCACAAACCAGGAAGACATTTGGAAACATGCGATGACAACTTCCGGTGTAGTTACCAACACAGGGCTCGCTGATCGATTGTGATCAAACCCGTTGAAGTAAATGTGATTAGTGGTAAAATGAAGATTGTGTGGAATCATCTGGAATCTCTTCTAATCGCATGTACCCAGTGCGCTCAGAGTTGTGCGTCAGTGGGTAAATGACGAAAACTGAGGTATGGTTGGAACTGCTGATTAGCCGAACATAACGGAACGGTACAATGACATGTCGATGAAGAAAACTGGGCCATTTTCTGAATTTTCCTAGATTTTGGCAGATTTACTATCGCGAACAGAACCCGTTGGAAGTTGTCATCGCATGTTTCCGAACGTCTTCCTGGTTTGTGACGTAAGCGTGAATAGAGTCTATAAATCGGAATAGTTCTGACTAGTCCACTACAGGGATGCACCGATTCTGGTATCGGATATCAGCGCCAATCCAGAAAAAATTGCTGTTTCCAAATATTTATTCAGCTGATAACCTGCTTGTTCTTATCAGCGGATGTACTATTTACTGGTTATGTTCGGCGTAGAAAGTCCTTTATTTATACAGAGTTGTTTTGGAGTTACTTGTGGGATAAATTAAAGCTACATAACACATTTGGGTCAGTTTAATCTTATTATTTTTTAAAGCAAATAAATGCCGTTTTCAGCCTCTGCACTGGTATCGATTGGTATTGAGTATTGGCAGATAATTAAAGCCATAGTATCCAAATCTGTATCAAAAAAGCTGGACTGGTGCATCCCTAGTTGGCTATTAAAATCATCTTCATTGTATTTTGATAATCGCATTTGTTAAACACACACAAAAAGAACTTCAGTCACCATATTTCAATCTTTATTTTCATTGATTTTATTTAAAAATCTCCAAGTATGAGTAAGTTGAAGTTATTGTTTGACTAAAAGTTTATTGCAGCTCTTAATGCCACACTGTGCAACATTCCAGTCATAGCAATACCATCCCCATGGAGACGGGAATGGAACCCTTCACCAAAAAAGTTATAGTCCACCTTTAACCTTTATCCACCTATGTAAACTAAAACTGTAAAAGATCTGATAAAAATGACATATTTGCTGTCCCTGTCTCGGCTAACTTGAGCAAGCAGAGATTTCATTTCTTGTCAATATTGTTTTCACTTTTTTGACTAAATTATGCTCAGAATAACACACTCCTATGCTAATCCGCTGAAAAAATGCAATATCTCGCCGCTATTTACATGTATTTAGCCAAAAGGGTGCTCGCGGCGGGCGCACATCCGGCTTGTTTTCGCATTTAACCGCCTAGCGCGTCTCCTAAGTGCCACGCAAACCCAGACTTAATTCATTTTCGCATACAGAGAAATATTAGCACACATTCCCCCCAGGTCTAGTGTCGAACTCGGAATCCTGTTGTCCACTGGGAGCTCTTTCTGTCATTTCTACCCCTGCCTTTCGCTAACTACAGCATGTTCAACAATCCACTTTAAAATGCCAACCGTAGTAACTCGCAGCCAACCAGGACTGAAGGTACAATCAGCACAATGTAAAGGAGACAGACAGACCGAGAGCAGAGCCATGGCGAAGATCTGGGACTACACACGGAAAAGAGCGTTCTTAAAAAGCAGTGGCTTGTGTTTAACTGTGAACAATAAAGATCGTCTTCAATGTTTTGCACTACATCTTCTGACTTGTCTCATTTGTAGCAGCGTGTGCTTCTGTGGGGAGTTTGTACTTGGATTGTAGGAGTAGTAATAGTAGTAGTAGTAGTGTATCGGCTTTTTTTCTGTTAAAAATGCAAGTTTGAAGCAACTCATAAACTAAAGACTGGCAAACATGGCCTTCAGTGGTGGAACGTAACAAAGTAAAAGTAGTTAAGTGCTGTGTACGTTTTAGATAGCGCTACTTTACTGTGGATACTTTTTACTTTTACGTCACTACATTTGAAAGCTGGTATCTGTACTTTCTACTTCACTACATTTTTTATCTGGAAGAAGTTTTTTTTATTTATTTTTTTGATAGTTTGAGCCTTGAAAGACTGGGGGGTTTATTTTTAACATATTTGTAGATTGAGCAAACAAAATATACAATAATATACAAAAAAAAAAAAAAAACAGCTCGAAAAAGTTACAGATTAAATTTTTTCATTTACTCAAAATTCGGCACAAATCTTTATCAAAATCACTTTGAACAAAATGTGTGCAAAATCCTTTTAAATGGGTACTTTAATAGATTTACTTAAGTACATTTTTTCATTTGTTACTTTTACTTGAGTATTTGTTTGCTTTGGATTTTGTGCTTTTACTTAAGTAACAAAATTGAGTACATCTTTCACCACTGTTGCCCTTGAAGCTCAATGTGTTTTTCAGATTCTACTGTGTGATGGTGCTGGTTTCCCCATGTTCAGGCAGGTTTCTTTTGCGTACTCTGGTGTCCATACTAATTACTTCAAATTTGTATGATTGATTTTTTTCCCCAATGTAGCTACCATGAACCAATGACATGCAGAGAATGTAGTTTCAAAAAGGTTGGTGACCACTGTTCTAGAGAATAAGAGCTACTTCATGGGTCCTGAGTCATATGAAGAGCTACCAGTTTGATACGCCCTTCTGAAATCACAAATGTTCTCAGTTTGCCTTTAGTTATACATTATTACTAATGATTAATGATAATCATCTATGTGAAGACACTGATCACGTTCATGATTTCTCACAATAATTATCAACAATGACAGCGAGGTGGGAAACAGATATCAATATTCAACACTTTCACTTTATTCATCTCAGTAATTGTTACATTTTTAATTACAGTGTTACAATTATCATCATTGCTTCTCTGAGTGCGTTTACATGCACAGTATCCCGGTTATAAATCTCGGTTTCTTGACATAATCTTACACATGCACAAGTGCCAAAATTTAATTTTTCCTGGTTTATTAAATATATAAACAACCATGAGCTCCTTTAGCATAGGACGCTCAGGAGGGTCCTCACCAGTGGACACTGCACAGATCCACGTTTCCAACACACTACTGTACAAGTTCTACACTGCAACAACTTAAACCATAACCACTATAGAGCCACATCAGCCCGTTTGATATAACATTTTTTAATGCAGCTTTGACACATTTGTTTACGTTTTACAGAAACAAAACTTAAAACCGCATGGCTCATTTGCATAAACTGCACTAATTGCTCATCTAAATCGCTTATCTAAACTTATAATGTATAATATGTATGGATAATGAACATATTTTTAAGATATTGTCATTTTTAAATCTATATAAATGCAAGGGTGATTAAAAAAAGAATTGCAACAGAATAAAATTAAATTGTAGATGCAGCTCACTAATAAGTTGTGCTATTTTTGGAACCGGTCTGTGAGCGACTTAAGTAATCCTTGGGGGCAACCGTGTTGGTGACCCCTGCTCTAGAAGCACAGTACAGTTTGCTTGCCTGCCTGACCAGCTAAGACAAGGGTGTCAAACTCATTTTGGTCCGGAGACCCTATCCAACTTACTTTGATCCCAAAGGGGCCGGAACAAAAAGTTACTGGAATATATACCCCCAAAAATAGCAATAAGGTATTTGTGCAGAGAAATACAAATCTATTACAGAAATCTTTTTTAATCGATGAACTCTTTTACAAAATATTATAATATTATGAACAACCTGAAACTTTAAGAAAATCGCTGGAGATAAATTATAGAAAATATAATTAAAATATTTTAATAGAAAATCCGGATCCGGCCCCTGGGCCATATGTTTGACACCCCTAAGCTAAGACCACTCTCTTAGAAGGGTTTGGCTCTCCAGGATAGTAGTTTGCCTTAAAGTCCACTCAACAGAACAAGTTGGATTCACCCATAGACTTGGCCTGCACCTGGGATCACTGTCATAACACCTCTTGAAGGTGAAGATTTGATTGATTTTGAGATTTTGAGAGATATTGTTAAAATATTACACAGATAAAACATAAACTTTGGTCATGCCAGTATAGGGTTGTTGTTGCTCTGTTCCAACTTGTGATGTCACATATTCATAGTTTTCAAGTTAACAGCTACCTTCTACCTTTTGTTTAGTAGAGATTGGAAATTCCAGGACTGAAATTATCCATAATATTTTAGTGAAGTTGTGTGGCGTGTACAAATACAGTGCTTCCTGTATTACTTCTTGTATTACCACATGACATCACAAGGTGGAACAGACTGTTTTCTGTTTGAGAGAAGAACTCAGCCTAAATATGCAGGTCAAATAAAACTGTGAAAACAAGTATGCAATTAAAATTATTTTATAAATTATTTAAATGGAAAATTGTTCTGCACTTGGCACTAATGTGAGTCAGTATAGTCATATTTTGGTCATTTTTAAGCAGCTTTTCTGTATTTTTCATTGCAAATATCTCTGATCTGAAGATTTTAAAATTTATATTGGGTTATTCATTTTGTTTTCAGATTTATTATCTACTTACTAGTTCTGAGGACTGCTCAATTCTAGTCTAGAGTTAGTTTAGTTTTAGATAACTTGTCAAGGAAAATTAACTTGATAAATGGACAGACAATTTCACTACTTTTAAGTCATTTTTCTGATAGGTTTAAGTGTTTATATCTTCAATTTTGACCAAGCTTTTTGGCAGTGTAGCTAAACAAGTGACGATGTATGCCTCGCTTTACTCTTGGCAGGGATCAGATTGGTCAAAAATATGGACACATGGGACATTTCTTGTATAAGACTGGGACAAATCATTGGTTTTGGATAAACCTGCTGGGACAGAGGACACAAGGCTTAAAACTGGGACTGTCCTGTGTAAATGGGGACGTCTGGTCACTGTAAACCAGGCTGTCTTGAGACTTCTGTACCACCAGCATGTGCAGAGTGGACATGTGGACAAGAGCATGTGCAAGCTAAGGTAAGTAAATCAAATGCATTGAAGTCTATTAAAAAATGTGCAACTGTTAGAACATTACCTTAAACTGCAAGAAAGTACTTTTCTATAGTAAAACGTGCGACTTAACATGAGGGTGACCAGACGTCCCTCTTTACCCGGGACAGTCCCAGTTTTGAGCCCTGTGTCCCCTGTCCCAGCAGGTTTATACAAAACCAGTGATTTGTCCCAGTTTTATACAAGAAATGTCCCAGGTGTCCCTATTTTCAGTGTTGGGAAGGTTACTTTTAAAATGTATTCACCTACAGATTACAGATTACATATCCCAAAATGTAGTTTGTAACGGAATCCATTAAGGTACTTAAAGTGAGTAATGTAATCTGAATACTTTGGATTACTTGATTTGCTGTAGAGAAGCAAAGACGAGGATATTGTAACATAAGAAGTTTTGTCTGCTAAAAGAAAATAAAAAGCCCAGACTTTACTTAACCGTATTAAAAATATTATCGATAGAAGACGAAGAGACACGGTCCGCGCTGCATGGTTTAGTCCTGTTAAATCCTGTTTTAGACCTGGTTTAGACCTGGGTTAGACCTGGTTTTAGTCCTGGAATAGTTCTGGTTTAGACCTGGTTTAGACCTGGTTTAGACCTGATTTAGACCTGGTTTTAGTCCTGGTTTAGACCTGGTTTTAGTCCTAGTTTAGACCTGGTTTAGACCTGTTTAAGACCTTTTTTGACCTGGTTTAGACCTGGTTTAGACCTGGTTTAGACCTATTTTTGACCTGGTTTTAGTCCTAGTTTAGCCCTGGTTTAGAGCTAGTTTAGACCTGGTTTTAGACCTGGTTTTAGACCTGGTTTTAGACCTGGTTTAGTGTCCGGCAATGAGTGGAATTATGGAGATATAGCCCAAAATGTACAAACAGGAAAATACCGCCGTGTAATCCACTTATTTCAACAAAGTAACTGTAATCCAATTACCACTCACTGAAACAGTAACTGTAACCGAATACAGTTACTCATAATTTGTACTCTGATTACTTAACTCCGGTACATGTAATCTGTTACTCCCCAACACTGCCTATTTCTGACCAATTTGAGGCATAAATTGTCACTTGTTAAACTACACTGCAAAAAAGCTTGGTCAAAATGTAAGACATAAACACTGCCAACAGTAAAGAGAGACAAAATAGGTAAAATACAGAAAAGCTGCTAAAAAATGACCAACACGCAAAGAAAACGTGACGACAATTTTCATTATTTACACACTTGTTTGACAATTTTATTATTATCAACCACCAAAAAACCAGGAATGTCCCAGTTTTTTATCTTGAAATTCTGGTCACCCGACTAAACAAAGCTTTAGCCTTAGCCACCTAGCATCAACTTGACCTAGCTCATTAGTTAGCAGCTAATTTTAGCTTACGTCTGGAACAAACTAGTTTGATTATTTATTCATGAAAAACAGAAAACAACATACCAACAACATTATAATTTAGACATTGTAACATTGAACATTGCAAAACTAGCAATATTTTTTAATACGTTTTGGCTTTATCAGCATATGCTACTTTTCTTGTTTTGCAGCATTACAGATGGGCATGTACAGGCTATTCAAACCTTTTTTTTTTTTTTTTTTTCTTTGCAATTTATTCAGTACTTTTCCCCCCACATTAGTCACAACACATATATTTTTTTATTTTTATAATTTTTTTTAAAAATATATAAAATGAATGTAGTAGTAGTAGTAGTAGTAGTAGTAGTAGTAGTAGTAGTAGTAGTAGTAGTTTATTTTCTT